TAAAAATAAATTTGGAACAGAAAAAAAAATGTTAGAGTTTTAAATAATAACACTTAATAATACTATATAAAAATATGAAATAAATTATTAATAATTAAATTAAGAATTAGAATAATTAAAATTATCTGATTGGATAAGTACAAATCAAGAATTAATTAAAATAGGTTATATTTAAATGAAATAATAATAGCAATTAATTTATATTGTTACAAAAGTATTTTAATAATTTATTAATTCTACAATATTTTAATTGAATGTAGTAGAAATTATATAAGAATAATTAAATTAGTTAAAGTTGAATGATGAGGAAATTTTGAAACAAATTACAAATTTAAAAGGATCTTAAGAAAGTACAATAAAGTATTTTAATAATAATAAAGAAACAATATAACATATAATCTAAATTCTTTGTACAGAATATACATAAGTGATAAATAAAATTATTAATTAAAGAATAGAGTTTGGAAAACAATTATGTTGAATATTTTTTATTTTATACATTTTTAAATATAATCTCATTATTAGACATCAACAGCTCCTTGATTTTCATTTGGATTTCTTTATTATCTATTTTTATTATCATAATGATGTCGATTAGATCCTCTACTTGGTTTCTACTAAGTTTTTTTTGTTCTAGAAATATACATAATATCTTAACCTACGTTCGATAGTGATGTATTCCTCATCTGAGCTATTTTAATCTTAAATATCATTATTTTAATTATTTTCTTAGATATCCTTCTTTTCTTACCATTCCTATCTTTATGGTCTTTCTTTATTATGATATCTATTTCCTCTGTATTATTTGTTGTAATCTCCATTATTGTTATTTCGTCTGTCATTATGATAATTTTTTTTGTATCCTTTTCTTTGATCATCATTATGATAATGTTTATGTCCATCTCTATGATGTTAATGATTACCCCTTTAATCATGTTATTATTCCTCTTTTACTTCTGTTACTTATTATTATTATTGTGGGACTTCTTATTAAGGATGATTTTATTCTTATTATTATTCTTATTATTCACTATGTTAATTTGTAAGCTATTCTATGGGTTAATGAATTTATTAACGATTTTCATCTTAGAATGTTTTTTTTGGACTAGATTTTATCAAAACATATTATTCCTATTAGACTGGTTATTCCTTATGAGTTTCTATTGTATCAGGTTATTAAGTAATCTCTTATTGTTACTATTAGATTTATTAGGTTGTTTCTTCATGATGATGAACTTCTGGTTATGAATGTTTTAACTAATATTTATTATTTATTAATTAATACTTTTAAACCCTTCCATTATTGATCCTTTTTCTTCTATTGATTATTGACTCTAATTTGAAGCTATTTAGCCAATTCATATAAAGATTAATGATCTTAAGAGAGTAATTCTAGGGTGTCTTAATTTTCAGATAAATGCTCCAATAGAATGATGAAAGCTTCTTAGGTGATGATTGAACCACTTTATTCTGCTTCCTTCTTAGCTTACAACCAATTTGAGACTTAGGCTTCTAATTCTTTAATTCTTTCATTATTCTCATCTTTGTTTTGAATCTTCTAAATTTATTCAGGTTTCAATTCTTTTGTTTTTTACAATTCTTCTAAATCAGCAATGTCTTTAAGTTTTTTTTAGAGATTTCTATATTTTTTAGTAAGGTAGTTGAAATAGAAGTCTTTTTCTTCATTTTTGACTTGATCCCAAATTGTCTTATTCTTTGATTGTTTTCCACCCTTCATAAAAAAATGTATTTTTTAAAAAAATTTAAAATAAAAACTCAATTAATAACTAGTATTCAAATTATACTTTATTATTAAGTTAATTGGAGTATTCTTTGTCTATTCTATGTTGAAATAATTGAGAATAATCAAATCAACTAGTTTGAATCTACATTAGTTTTTGAATCAAAATAAATAATGGGATAATTTAATATTGATTATTTTATTTTAAATCAAACTTTGAAATTTCATTATAGAACACTTTCAAATAGTACTAATTATTCTAGAAATTATTAAATTCTAAATCTCTACCAATCTAAGGATTAATTTTCTTAAACAAATTATGATGAAATTTAAGAAATATTATTAATGATATAAAAAAATTATGCTCAATTACCGAAATAATTACTATAAAATGATACATAAAATAGCTATAGATAAGTATCCAATTAAATATGAAACTTTAAACATTTCATTTCTATATTTTCTTTTGTAATTCATTATAAATATTCTTCAAGGTTATGTATTTACATTTTCTCTGATTTTAAAAACTTAATTATTATAAAAAATTAATTTATCAATAGAATTTTAATTAATTAAAGTTTTTTTCTTTAAGTTAAAAATAATTATTTATTGAAATCCATTAATAATATTCACATTTTATTGTATATGATCGAAAGAAAGAAGAGGCAGCTACTCAATTTATCCCTTTCAGGAAATCAATAAAAGATTATAATTGGTAATTTTAAGACTCTTTAGTTTAAGAAACTTACTAAAGATTACAATTATTTCATATGCATTACTAATCAGCAATGAAATTAAAAAAGTGTTTTTTAATTAATTGAGATCTTAGAAGAAACTCAATCTTATTTATAAGCCATTTATACAAAAAATGGAATATCTTTATTACAATATTATGGTATTTGATAAAAATAATTCAGGATAGTTTATTCAATTTATTCAATCAAATAGGATCATATGATATAATTTAAAGAAATGAAAAATATACTTAAGTTAACTTATAAGGGTTAATAATAATATTTGAAACTTTTGATATAATGAATTACTGAAAGAAACATAAGTGTGGTTTTTCAAAAGAAATCTTTCATATTGGGAATTTGTTTATGCCTCATCATTAGTATAATGAAAGCCAGCATAATCTAAAGTTTAAATATAAAAAAATTGAAGAGAGTTTATAAAGAATTAGAGTCTAAATTAAATAAAGAATAAGGTATAATTATTATTAGATATTCTGATTTTAAGGTTGTCTCTTGAGATTCAAACCCTATTATCTATTACGTCTAAAACTAAAACAAAAATTTATCATCAAAATTAAAAATAGCATAATTTATTTTCATATGAATTATTCCCTAATTATAGAAAGATTTTTTACTATCAAATAGAAGAAAATGGTTTGATATTATTTCTTATTTAGTTCAATAAAGAATTCTTTATAAATTCTAATTATTGATGAGACTTAAACTAAAAATTTATTCAGCATATCATATTCAAAGTATATAATTAAATGGAACCAAAAAGACACAATGTATTTTGAGTGAAATCAGTTTCTGGAGAATAATGAAAATATATTAATTAATATTATATGTAACCTTATAAAAAGGTTTGTGTATAAGAATCGAATATCCCCTATTCATTTAATGAACAAGATGAGAAAATTGGGATTGATTATTCCAATTTCATCTAATAAATGGAAGGGCCTTACCATTAGCTTTATGAACCAATAGATAAATAATGTATTGGAGCAGGAGGATAGGGTTGTGTAATTAAAGTGAAATGCAAATTGAATAATGAGGTTCGGGCTATGAAAGTGATTAAGAAAATTAATGAAGATAAAAATGAAAATTTTCGAAAAGAATTCCAAAACCTTAAGCTGTATCTCATTTTCTTAATTTAGATTAGATCATCCAAATATATTAAAGCTTTACCATAGTTTTGAAGATGATCAGAGATTTTACATAATTTCGGAACTATGTGAAGGAGGAACATTATCTCAATATATTGAAGACCATTATCCTCTTAAGGAAGCTGAAGTCCTTAAAATTATGAAGTAATTAATCAGTTCCATTAATTTTGCTCATAAGAAAAATATTGTTCATAGAGATATAAAGCCTGAAAATATCTTAATTGATGATGAAGTTACTACATCCATTAAACTAATTGATTGGGGTTTCTCAGGAATGATTTAATAATATGAAAAATTAAGTCTTAAATGTGGTACAATTCATTTTGTAGCTCCCGAAGTAATGGAAGAATCTTATGATTAAAAATGTGATATATGGTCATGTGGAGTTGTTCTTTATATACTATTATGTAATGATCCTCCATTTTAAGGGACAGATTCAAATGAAATTTTATTTAATATAAAAAATCAGGGTATAGAATTTAGGTATTTAATTGATTTAAATAAAGATATTAATCTTGGAAATAATACAGTACTCTTGTTAAGGATTTATTAAAAAGAATGTTGGAGAAAAATCCAGAACTTAGACCAAATGCATAATAGGTACTTGAAGATCCATGGTTTGAAAGGTATAATTGTTAAATAATCTAATTGTATTAGTCATTCATCTGAATAAATACCTTCATAAGATTTCAAGGAGAGTATGATATAATTCAATGGTTATACTGAAGATTAGGACAATAATTTAAAATAAAGTAGATTTTTATAGGCAATAGTATTATTTATTGCGACAGAATTAGTACATAAGGATGATAAAAAAGTATTGAATCGTATATTCCGTAAGATTGATAAGGATAATAATGGTATTAATGATTATATGAGATAATTAGGAACAATTTCAAAAGATGAACTGAAAAGTGCATTACAATAAATATATTCAAAAAATTAATTAGATGATAAAGTTGATAAAATATTCGATTTCTTAGATGTTAATTAAAGTGGTTCATTAGATTTTAGTGAATTTGTAGCTGCAACATGTAAATTATCAGATGTTGAAGGTATATTAATTTATTAAATAATAAAGAAAAAATAAGAGTAGCATTTGATGTATTAGATAAGAATAAGGATGGATGTATAACTTTAGATGAATTATTTAAATTTATAGGGAGAGAAGACTATGATAGAAGTGATTGTAAAGAGATCTTTAATCAATTTGATCAGAATGGAGATGAAAAGATAAGTTTTGCAGAGTTTTCTTAGGCTGTTTAAAAATACGTGAATATATGTAAATAGATTTAATATTGATTATTTATAATAGTTTAACATTTATATAAATAATATAATAGATAGATAAACATAAAATCAAAAATATTTACTAAGAAGTTTTATTAATTTAGTTCTAATTTCTAATTATTCACATTTTATCATCTCTACAAATGTTAAATAAAATTCTTTCAAATCATTTTTTTCTAATATACTTAAATAATCCAACATTAATTAAATATTAAATTGTTTTTCATATGAAGTATTTTCTTCATTTAAAAAAACTTTTAAAATTTCATGAATACTATTTAATAGAGGAATTCGAATAGATAATGAAAATTTTTCTACAATTGGATTATCCATCTCTAAAAATCCTACTAAACTAATAATTATTATTTCTTTTGTTTCTAATTCTGATATATTTAATTTATTTATGTAATAATTAGTAAACAATTAAACAACAACATCTTATTATTCTATATTTAAATATTATGCATCATTTATAAAAAATGAAATCCAATCTTATGTTCTTTTATTAGATACTATAAAATATTGTTATAATTTATACCTGTTAATTATGTTGATATAAGAGGTTCAAATAATTATTGAATTGAATTATAATCTAAAAATGGTATTATTATTGTAATTATATTTTTTAATTTAGTAATTAAAATTAATTATAATTTTTCAGAATTATCATTCATAAATCTTTAACATTTCTATTTAATAAATTAATATTTACATTTAAAAATCCATTTAAAACTCCAACAAATTTATTTGATTCATTCAAATCATTTTAATTTAATTATCTTTTACTAATTATTGTTTCAAAACTATTTATTAAAAATTCTATAAAGTAGTGATGTTTTGCAACTATACCTAATTAAGATATTTATTAATTTATAAAATGAAGCCATTCAGCTATTATTTCCTCTTCTAGCATATCAAATGAAACACATTATTTGTAATAATATTTGAATATATTATTATCATCATTTATAAGTTGAATTACTTAATCTTGACATAAAAAATTAAAAAGTAATTATAATGCATGTAATCCTTTCTTATAATTTATTGGTATAGTTAATTTAATTACATCACAAAAGATTTAAAAAGTTCTATTCTCTAAATAATATTAAATATCTTCCATATCTAATGTTTATTCATAATTAATTAATGTAACTAAAAAATCAATAGAACCTATTAATAATTATTTATCTTAATTTGATTATATTATTCTTTAACATGCCAATACTATTTCATGTTTTACATAAACACATTATGCTTAATTAAATAATTGTAAATAATAATAAAATTTAGGATATTATTATTTTTGAATAATTACATCTGTTATTTTTGAAATGCACAACTTTACTAATTCAAATTATTATTTAAACAATTATAATGAAGTAGATTTATCAAAAATCATTTATTTAATTGATCCTTAAAATTTAGGAGTTTCCATAGGTAATTATGTAAATCTAGGAGTTTATTATATTAGAGACAATTAATGTTATTCAACTTTAAGATAATATTCCATTGAATGTTAAATTAATTCTTCTAATAATGAAAATAAATCTGTAAATTAAGAATCCTTAGCAATAGAGCATATTTAACTTGAAATATGTATTGATGCATATTTTAAATCATCTTGATTATCTAAACAATTTTTAAATAGTTTTAAAGTAATTTACCATAACTCATAATCCTTTATATCTAATTTTACAAGTCTCTCTTAAACTTACCAAGTCATACAAATTATTTTATTTGTTATTTCATAATTAACTAAAATAATTAATATATCTTTACATTCATCTTGTTTATTTAATGAAACTAATAATTTAACTAATTTACAAATTGATGTATTATCTAAATTATCTATATGATTGAATATAATATCAGACATGCATTCAATTGATAATTAAGTTCTGAAAATTAAAGATTTATGTTCTTATTAACTTATTTCTTATTGAATTTAATCTTTACTTAAAAAATCATGTAAAACAACTTCAATTAATTAAACAAAAACTGAAAAAGCTTCCTAAGGTAAATATTTAGCATGTTCTTTTATTAAAATAGTTAATAATGATAAAATATTTTCTGTAACATCTTCATATGGTAGAATTATTAATTCAGATAATGGATTTAATAATTATTAGATCCATTTATCACCCCATTTAAATTTATTATTTTTACTATATTCAATACCTGAAAATATTGTTTCTTTATATGTATTTATAGCATTTAATCTCATTTCCATTACTTTTGAACTACAAAGACATAAATATAAAGCATCTACAATAGTCCATAACATATCTATTCTTGACCAATTATTATTAATTATAAGCAATAATTTATCAATTGCAAATGATTTATAAATAGAATCAAAATTCTTCTTTTAACTAATTTGAAGCCTTTCTGAAACCTAAAGAGCTAATTAATTTAATCCATCAACCATTTAATAAACAGTTGTATCATGATATTAAGAACTTCGATTAAATATTTCAGTAGTCATTTTTATTTCTGTAGATTTTGAGACTACTTATTCAATTCTTTATAATGTTTAAAAAATAAGATTCCATGTTTTTGCAGTTAATAAATTTACATTACTATAAAGAATTTCTTCAAATAATTTACATGCAATTAACCATTTATCTGTTTCTATATATTTTAAAGATAATGGTGCAGATTAAGCAGCCAAAAATCTTATTAACAATTAAAAACTACTAATTTAATCTTATTATAAACTAAATTAGATCCATGATTATAAATATTCTAATAAATTTGTATATTATTAATTATTAGCTATTTTTAGAATTTATTTCATAATTCTTAAAAGAGGTCTCCATAGTTTATCAAATAAAGTTTTAAATTTTATATCATCACTTTCAGTTTCTTATATTTCTGTAATTTGATCATCAATTTCACCATTAAATAATTAAGATTATAAAAGACGACTTTAATTTTTAATTTCCTATAATAATCCATTCCCTTCTTTCTAAAATTCATCTTATTATAGAAATTTCATAATATTATCTGTAATTAATTAAATTAAAGTTTCTAACTTTTAATGTATTTTATATTACTTATCTATTATATGAAAATATTTGGTAACATTTACAAATTGCAATCTATGTAAGAAGCTGTTAATTTATTTATTAAAATATTTTATTTTGGAGATTATTGTGTTTAGAATTCTCTTATTCCATATAGACAATATTAATATAATGACTTCAATATTAAATCATTATAATCTATAAAGATTAAAATTAATTATTACCATTATAAATATTACCAGACGGTTATCTTATTAGTAAATTTTTGAATATTGAGAGATTAGAATATAAACATAAAATGCCATCATGTATAGCTATCTTACATTAATCAAGTGGTTGTAATTTGCTATATACATTCATCAATTATGATATTAATTCAAATTTGTCTTCTATTGTCAAGATATAATTGAATATTAATCTTATTATATTGATTTCTAATATATTAATAGATATACTATTCATTATGTTTGACTCCTATACTAGATCAATACTCGTTAAGTATGTATATAGGGTTTCATAATAGAAAGTATGAAATTGCTCGATTTATTGTAAATATTTTCCACATTTCAGTATTATGATAAAAATATCTTTGCCTAATGAAATTGATATTAGATATGATAAATACATAATATTAAATTGTTTGACACATATATAAATGTTTGCTCCTTATCTTGAAATATATTAAAAAATAATTCCAATAATTCAAAATAAGATTGCAATATTGTATTCTTTTATTAACTCTATAATAGGTCTTCCAAAACATTACTAAGTGTTAGAATGCCTTAAATAGATGATTATGCTATTATTGGATTGTCTGAAGATGAAAAGTATATTAATAAATTTAAGACCTTCAGAATATGATTTAAATTAGAAAAATCAATGACATCAGGACCAATAATATGAATTAATGTTGAAACCAGTCTGATATCTATTGTTTCATCTTATTGCGATTTTGAATTATTAAAATATTCAATTATGATATCAAGATCATTCTAATGATAAATTAATAGTACAATTGTTAATAAGAGCAAATGCTATAATTTTTGGATTAGTCCTATTCCTTATGAAATTAATTTAATATTTTTTGAGCTTACAATCTAAGGTAATAATTATATTAATAAATTGTGAGTATCTAATTCTAACAAATTTGATTCTAACACCTTTATATATATAGATTTTTATTGTTTACTTTACACAATTAAGGATATTTCCTACTGTTATCCTTAATTAATAATAATTCATTTTCTACTATTTCTTTTGTATTCATATTTAGAAATATATTTATTATATTTTAATCAGAAGGTATTGGGGTCATAATTATATTTTATAATCATGTTTTTTTCTTTCACTGATCTAAAAAATTATCTTTTTGCATAGATAATTGAATATACTGTAAGAATAGGATTTAAATAATAAAAATTATCATTATATCAGATTAAGTCATCTAAATTAAATTCATTATCATCTTAAGCAAATTCATCATCATACATAACTAATCTAACCCTATTTTTTATTTAATTTTCATCATTTATTGTTTCATTAGTTTCCTCCTACTATTATGTTTATACTTTTATATCTTAGTCTATTTTAATCAATTTAACAGATCTCCTTTAAACTTAAGGTGATAAAGGGTTAAATTTTTAATGATGAGATCTAATAATTCATTTAAAAATTACCTGCATTAACTAGGAGAGCGAGTTCCAATGATTTCTGACATTGGTTTGAAAATTTTGTTATTTCTCTTTAGATGGGAATGATCTTCCAAGAATTACAAGTATTTTTCATGCTCTTCTTTTGTCCAATGACCATTATTCTTTCTTGGTGAAAGAGAATCACTTTTCTTTATTTTCTTAGATTTAGGAGATCTGCTACAAGTAAGTACTGCAGCTTCATCCTCTAAATTACAGAATTCCTCTTCCATCTGAGACATTTTTTTAATTATTATTAAAAAAATAAAATTTTGATTTTTATACATACTATGCTTAATAGATCATTTTCTTAAGGAATTTTCAACTCTATTGCATCTTTAATCAATAAGATTAATAATACTCTCCTCTGTAGCTTCTCTTTCACTTTTTTCAGCATTAAGTTCTCCATTCAAATAAGAATTCATCTCATCAAACATTCTGAACATCTAACTTTATGCTGTTTCTCTCTATTTTTTTTCTGTTGTTAAAATTTCTTATAATTTCAATATTGAATCTCCTAATATTTTTATAACTTATTGATTTCCTTCTTACCTAAAATTTATTTTTAATAATACCTTAATCTTCTTTCTTCTTCAACATCCTCTCTCTATATTTTTTTTATCTTGCTATATCTAGTCTTAAACTATAAACTCTTTCATCTGTTGTTTTAATAATTTTTTATTCATAATCTTTTCTATTGATTTTTTCTGATAGTAATTCTTTTCCTAAATTTAATTTTAAGATTTTTAAATCTTAAGTTCTTAATTTTTCATCTCCATTCTATGTTATAATTGAATTTTCTTTTTTACTTTTCTAATAATTTTTTCATTTTAAGCTTCTTCTTCAAACTTTTTATAATTATTCCTTCAATAACTTAACCTTTGATTCATCACCTTATTACTGCTTTGTCCTCTAAAACTTTAATCTTTTATTCATAAGTTTCTTTTTTAAACTATTCAGTATGAATAGATGATATATTACCTAATCTTAATCAATTGAATTTTAGTGATTGGATAGTTTTTATGATAATTGAGATATTTTTGTCCTACTAAGTGAAAGAGCTCTATCTCTATCACTTCCATATGATATTGCAGACTATGATTTTGGTTCTGATGATGAATACATTGATTTAGAAGCAGACATTTTTTGGGTTTTTAATTATTTTATTGTTTCATATTTAGATAATCTTTAAAGTAAATAAATTTATATATAAAATAATAAATTACTTTATTATTTTTTGATCTCTAAAAAAAACATTTAAACAATAAGTTTTTATATTTATTATTAAATTATCTTAAATGTTAATTTATACTTGATTTTTAAATAATAAGAGTACGTTGTATGTATTATTTCAGCAAATTAAATGATTAGATATTAGAAAAGTAATTGTTTTTTTAATATTAAAAATATTTAACTATATATATATTATTTCTATATATATATTATTTCTAAGTTTTATATATCAATATTTAGAGATTTAACAATTTTAATTTTTTAATAGTTGTTTAACATTTATAGCATCTCCTTCACTTGTTGTTCGAATGCCACTTTTAATTCTTATTTATTATATATTTTCCAATCTTACTAAGGGTGATTATTTTTAGAAATTCTAATTCGTTAGATTTCCATATTGGGTTACACCTAATTTATTTTCCTATTATTTTTCTAATTGGGTCTTTAAATCTAAAGAGAACTATCTATATATATAATACTTTCAATTTTTTTTTGTACAATTCTTTGATTAGTCATTGGCATTATCATATTCATATTTCCTAACTCTGCTTTCAATTTAGAAAGTGTTTTTTATTTTGCTTTAAGCAATTTTTAATTATTTGCAATTTCATTACAGAATTCAATGTTAGGAGCAATATTTTTTGATCTGATAGTTTTACTCATAAATAGTTAATTAATTAATGTTAAATTGAAATAACCAAAAAATCAATAATTTCATAAAAAATAATCTGGTGTTTTTTTGGTCAAATGGGGTTCTCCTCTTCTAGGAGCAGGATCAAATTGTAAATAATTTTGATTCATATGTTCATCTACTTCTAGAATGGCAGCTTAATTTCCACATCTATAACAATAATTTGGAGCAGAGAATAATGTAACACAATTTTTATCATGAGTTTCTTAAAATCCTTCCATAACTAATTAATGTGCTCTTGCAATCATAGTTAATCCATTAGTATGATTATATTTTTCAGAAATATCTACTCCAAAAGTAAATCCAGCTCCTCTAGGTGAAGTATTAAATCCATTTCGATCTTTTATAATTATATAAATATACCATCAGGATCACTCCATAATAAATCACATAAAGGACCTTCATGAGGTACTTCTTATATTCTATCCAATCTTCTTATTTCATCGAGAGTAGTTACATCAGGAGATAATCCTCCATGTAAACCAAATATCTTGTTTAATAGGTATATATTTATTACAGAATTTTCAACTACTGCTGTTATTGGAAGATAATCAAATAAATCGGTAAAATATTTCCATGGATTTGCATTTCCATACTTTCTAACACATTCTTCATAGAATCCATAGACTTATGTAATTTATCTAGATTCGTGATTGCCTCTTAAAATAGTTATTCTATCCTATTTAGAATTTAAGTTATTCATACTTTATATCTAACTTTTAAAGCCAAAAGAAGTGATACAGTTTCTACACTATAATAACCCCGATCAACGTAATCTCCCAAGAAAAGATAATTTGTATCAGGTACATTACCTTTATAATATAATCATTAGTTTTACCTCCAATTTTAAATAATTCCATTAAATCATGATATTATCCATGAACATCACCACAAATAGTAACTGGAGCTCTAACTGGTTAAACATTACTCTCTTCTTACAAGATTTCCTTAGCTTTTTCACAAAGCCATTTAACATCCATTTCTGTTAAAGGTTTACATTTATTGAGTTATTCAATAAAACCATCTAAACAATTATTGGGATTATCGTATTATGACATATTTATTTTCAAATTTTTAATATTAATATTATGATATATATATATATACATAATATATAAAAGTGATATCAAAATTAATTAAGCATCAATAAAAATAATGAGTTTTCTTGTTTGCATATTTTGTAGTTCCTGGTAATTATTGAATAAAATTTAATTGTTATTTATTGCTGTTTTTACTTGAATGAAATGATTAAGATGTTTTCTTATTATTTGGAGTAGGATTCTATGAAACATTAATCAATAATTCTTTTTCTCTTGAAAATGTTCTTATCTAATTAGGTTTCTAAAATATATTAAAAAATATTATATACTTTATTTTCTTAATTCATTTCTGGTTCTGAGATATGATGATTCTATAATTTTTATTATCCTTATTAACCCTATTTTAAATTTGTTTCTAATTTTTTGTCATTAATATCAAAGTATTATTATTAACTTTCTAAATATTAAACATGCTAAACTCTTATTTGACTAGGTAGTCCTTCAAGAATCCAAGAATGCATAAGAGCATCAATAGGACTGATTCTCTTTTTAGGATTCCATACTAAACATTATTATAAGAAATCAATAAAATTATTGTCGTTGCATTTTAAGACTTCTGATAAAGTCTTACTACCAGGTATTCTTAATTTTCCACCTTTATTTTACAAACATAAAGGTTAAAAAGGTAAAGAGTCAGTAAAGAAAACTTTTCTCCTTTAGGCAATCTTAAATAATTTAAAAATATTTACTTCTAAAACTTAATTATCTGGCATACCAAGTATTTCTAATATATATGCAATTTATTCTTATTCATCATCACCTGGAAATATTGGGTATCCCAAATATAATTCTGCCATAATACATCCAAAGCTCCACATATCAATACTTGTATCATATGGGATTCCAAACATTACTTCAGGTGCTCTATAATATCTTGATTGTATATATGAATATATCTTTTAGTTTTCAAAACAACTACTTCCAAAATCTATGATTTTTATTCCACTTTTATTTGCCTATTTTAATAATATATTTTCAGGTTTTAAATCACAATGAATTATTTTATGTTTATTTAAAAAGTTTAATGCATTTAGAATTTAAATTGCAAATCTTCTTATGAGTTCTAAAGATAAACTCTAAAAATTATTATTCTTTATTAATTAATATAAATTTATTGATAAGAATTCAAAAGAGATACACTAAAAATAAATATTAATAAAATATACCACATGATTTCTAAAGATTACAAAATCTTTTATTTTAACAATATTTGTTACATTTTCTTCATCTTTTTCTTTTACATATGTTAATATATTTAATTCTACTAATGCTTAATTTGTAAATTTCTTTTTATTTCTTATAATTTTTAAACATTAAACTTATTATCTTTTATGATCAAATACTTTGAATGCTGATCCAAAACTACCTTTACCTACTATTTCTAAAATCTCATATCTGTATCCAATATGATCATTAATTGAAAATAAATACTCACCTTTTGAATCATCAAAACCATCATTATAATTTGTTTATTTTTAATCAATTTTTTTAGATGTCAATCCTATACAATAAATCTTAACTTATAAATTTATATATATATACTCTACTAAATCCATGAATCTCTTATTTCTCAAAATCAGTCAAATATTATCCAAATTATTATATACATTCTTTTGGTGTCAAAGGCAATTTTATTTTACTCCAATCTATTTTTTTTGTAGGTGATGTAGATTTTTCTTAATCTATTACTTTTGAGAATACTTTCTATTGATTAATAATATTTAAAATACTTATAATGAATATCTATCTTTTGATCCTGATTTATTAGTTGTTGTTTTAATACCTTATTGATTTAATTATTAGTAATGTTTATTGAATCTATTATCAAATCCAAATTCACTTGAGTTACTCTTTTTTGTCTCTATGAATGATATATCTTTTGCATTCTTAAATTTATCTGTATTTATTTGTAATAGTTATTTGAAATAATCTAATTATTTTATATACTTACTTTTTCCCATTAATTCTTTAAGTGCTTCAATAGATGATCCAGTCTTAACTGTTAAATTAGTTCTTTAATTCGATGATGATTTTTTCTATCTATTTTAAATTTTATTGTTTGAGTTATTATTAGAACTATTAGCCTTATGCTGAGTCTAATATAGAAATAAGAATACTAACTCTTTTGCCAGAAATAAGTCTTTTTCTTGGAGTTGATGTTTCAACTACTATAGGTGACATATTGCTGCAATTAAAAAACTTCTAATTATCTTTATGACATGTTGTGTTTGATATATAATATTTTGGTTTGTTATTTGAATTCAAATCAAAAGAAATATTCTAGTTATTCTTATTAATCATTACCATCACTTTTTTATCTTGAGGAATACACTTAGATTTCATTTTCTAGGTTGTTAAAATAATTAATTTTTTATTTATTCATCCAAACTATTGATCAATTAGATGATTATTATTATACTAAGTATTCTAACTATTTGAATATATTAAGAAATCTAATACAACTTTCAATAACTTAAATACACTTAATAAGAATTCTATTTTGTTTAATTAAATATATATAAATCAAAAAACTTCTTCACTTTTGATTAAATTAATAATCAAACATTAAAATCAAGTCCTTGATAAGCTGACTTGACAAATGGTCTTTATTTTGATAATATTTCTGTTTTTTAATTTATTTTTTAATTATCCTCTTCTTTTTATTATTATTATTATTCTGTTTTTATTCTTCGAGATTAATCATAACCTTTAGCAAATATCTACTTAAAAAAATTAAGATTCTCTTCTTATCTTTTTTACATTCCAATCATCTAATCTAATTTATTCATAAGTAAATTTCGTTCCTATTAAATTTAATAATATTTTATTACATCAGTATTACAATCTGATTCCTTCTAAAATTTTGTTAAATTATCAAATAGAAATCTATTTTATTATTCTAATTCTTCAGATTTTTTTTTTAATATCTATACTTGAAATACTAATTAATCAATTTTGCTTTCTAACTTTTTTTAATTTAAATAACTTTAAGTTTTGTATATAAAATCTCCCTAATTGTTGTTTTGTTGATGATTTACTTTATGTTAATTTATAAAATCCTTTGAATATTTTGAATTTTCTAATCGAGATCTAGAAGAAGAAGAATCAACTGATTTACTTCTTTAAGAAATTTCTTATCTAAATTACTTTTAACTATCTTCTTGATCATATTAATCATAAAGATTTTATTTCTTTTTTAAAGTTTTCTATAATTCTTCTTCAACTTGATTTTTGTTTTATTTTATATCTTTACTTAAATTGCTTAATTTGTTTTTAAATTCTTATAAAGTTATTTATTGTGAATAAATATTCATAGGAGATGGAAAATGTTTCATTGAATATGAACCTTTGGAATTCATTAATTTTTACTAAGGATTATTTTATACAAGATGATCTGCTGATTAACATTCTGTTAATCCTCCTCTTTAAGAAAAATACACTTAATCATTTAAATTGCCATAAGAATTAAACTTCTTTTTACCATTATTTTTCAATAAACAATTTTCCTATTTTTGTTGTTATTATACTAATAATTATTGAAAATCCGCGCTTTGATTTCTTTAATCTCTAGATATTCGTTTATATTCAGTATGATTCATATTTGAATTTAATAGGTTTGTGATTACATCAACTTAAGAATTTGTGTTTCTTTAGGGAGGTGATGCTGATTATTCTTTATCTTTTGTTGGAGATGCAGAAGTATGAACTTTAAATTGCTTTTCATTTCCTTCTGTTCGTATTCTTGTCTTTAAAGTATTCTTATTAAGTGATTTAGAAGATCCTGATACTAATATTTTTAGCATTTGCAAACATGATAATTATTATGCTATTTGAATATTAGATTGTCTTAATTAATACTAGTTACAACTTTTTTTATGATTTTCATTGCTTTTGGCATTTGATACAGTTTTTCTATGAATTTAATTTTTTGTACTCAACATTGGATAATTCACAACAGTTGATAATAATATAATTATTGAAATTTTGAATATATACAATAAATTTTAAAAATTTATTAATTCAATTATATAGTTATAATAATGAATATAATATATATGTATATATCTTTAGAAATCATTTTGAATCTAATTCTTTAATCACTTATGTAGAATTTGTAATTAAAAATAATAAATTAATAAAAATGATTGAATTCTATAATTATCTAAAAATTTGAATTTATTTAATTTTTAATTTTAGCATTATATAGTAGTAGATATTTAATTATATTTTATTCTTTAAAGATTATGAATTTACATATTTAGAAAAATAAATAAATCTTCTAAAACATTATTTATTATTGTATATAAGTATCTTATTCAAATAAGTTTGAGAAAAAAGTACATTTAATGTAATAAAATTAATGTTTATGTATAATTTAGTTGAGAAAAGTGAATTTAAATTATTTAATGATTAAATTTGCTTTATTTCATTTGAGAAATCCCTTTATTCATCGAATAAATTTCTCAAGTTCAACAGCAAAAGCAAAACAAAGAGTTTTAACAAAATAATAAGAGGAGTTTGTTAATGAGCTTAAAACTACTTATAAGTCTTTAGCTGATAATTTATAAAGTATGCTATTACAATAATAAATTAAGGTGAAGAATCTGTGCTTAATTTATTTAAAAAAGATTAGGAGGATGAAAAATAATAGTCAAAAGAGTCTCCAAATGAAAAAGCTGTAATTGCTTAATATATGAATATTCTTAACTATAGGTATATTCAATTGAAAATATGATTAGTTTTGCTTAATATTATTAAAGTTTGAGTCCAGAAGAATAATTGAAAAGAAGTAAAGATATTATTAGATCTGATGCATTAAAAAAAGATTGGGATACTTTACTTAAAGAAAATAGAGATTATTAAGATTATTCACTTTTTGATAAGAATTTATTAGCAATTAAATATAGTCATAAAGATTTTGATGCTAAAGATTCTAAATATAAAAATAAATTGAATTTTTATGGTGATTTAGATGAAAATGTTCATGAAAGATAAGAAAAAGAAAATGTTTATAGTTTTATATATTAAAACCCTGAAAATAAAAATATTGCTGCTAGAAAGATGACAGAAAAGAGAAAATTAAGATTTTCATTTAGAAATAGAAGAATAAAAAGAGTAAATAGAGCAAGAGAACTCATATAAAAGAGAATATAAGATAATTAAAAATGGTTGGTAAATTCTGATAATTTTTCTAAAAAAAGACGTAGAAGACTTCCTGCTCCAAAATTATCATTCAGAGCAAAATTTGAATTATTTGGATTATTTAATGAAGGTTGGTCAGTTAGAGATTTATCTATAAAATATGGAATAATGCCATATAGAGTAAAGGCTATCATATATTAAAAACGATACTTTTTTGATGAAGTATTCCCTCATCTTCCTTTTGAATATGTAAGAGATTTAATTGCAATTGAATTATATTTTGAAAAATAATTTGGAGCTGTTGATTATGGTGTTGATTTATAATAAATGAGAAAAGTAGAATCAGGATATCTATAAACAAAGTATTTAATTAAATATATAATTATTTTAGTTTCAAAACACCTGATAGAAATGTTGATATTGCAAAATTATCAGATAAAGAATAAGAAAGAATAAAGAAATTATTTGAAGAAAAGAAATCTAAAAAATATGATATAGTAACAGAGAAATTTTAAGGATAAGGAAATAAAGGGTATAATATTTATATTATTTGAGTTATTATTTGAAATCTTGGATAATGCATAAAACACGTTCTAGACATGGAGTCAATAGAATATTTGAAAGAATAATTAAAGATAGTGATAAACCTTTTAAGTTACCTGTGACTGTTTAAGCTAGATTAAATTAAGGTCCTCGTATTGCAAGCACTCAATTTGGTCATAAATGAGATTAGTATTTTAAGAAAATATAAATTTAATTATGTTAACATATACTGATTTTTGTTTAAAATTAGCAACAATAATAAAAGAAGAAAAGATAGAATCTCTAAAGATATAAGAATTAGTTAATGATACACTTGATTAATTAGAATTTACATAAACTCCTATTGATACTTATGTATAATTTTGTGATTAAAAAAAAGGAAGAAGTAATTAGCAAAGAATTAAAATTTTATAAAAGTGAATGCTAATACATGAATTAATTAAGAACAAATCTATAATTATAAGTCAAAGTATTAATTTATTATTAAATAGCAAGTAATTACAAACTCAATTATTTGAAGAAAAAGAAACAAATATACGTCTAATTGAGATTCTAAAATCATAAAAAAAGTAATAACTATAAAATAATTTAAAAACTGAAACTAATACTAATACTCAAACTTAAAAATTAGAAACATAAAGAATATCCTCTCGTTTAAATAAAGAATGTTTTTAATTATATTATTTTAGAATTTAGTACTATATCTCGATAACCAATTTTACCTATTACTCAAAAATAATCCCAATATGCTCCACATCTAACAATAGAAATCAAAAATATTAGAACTCCTTTGATTGAAAATTAAGCACCCAAAAATTTAAAGGAACTATTTGAACAATGTGTTGCTTAATTATATAGAGAAAATAAGATTAAGGGGAACTTTTAAAAATAAAATAAATAATATTGTAATAGAGATCATTATGGTTAATTTTTATTAAATTAAGAATCAAATGATGTTTAATTTTCAAAATTATATATAAAGACTCTAACTGAAAGGTATTTTTTAATAAAATCAATAAATTTAGATTCTTTTTGAATCCTCATTTTATTAAGATGGTTGAAGCTTAGATATTTGATGTTAAGTGTTGCAATTATAAAGCTTGTATCTATAATTAAAGATAAATTTAATTATAATTTGATTCTGTACAATAATAAGAGGAAATTCATTAAACACATTTACCAAAAAGAAGTCTCACATTTAGATAATAAGATAATAGAAGTAAAAGTGTTGGTAAAAATGAGGGTATTGTGATTGTCAATTAAGATAGATTACAAACTATAATATTAGTATATATATTAGGAAATTTAAAGACTAGAAAAAGAGATTGTCTCTACTTCTACAAATAGATTTACAGTCTAAGAATTAAAATTCTAATTAAAGGAAGCAAAAGATAAACTTGTAGAAATATAATCTAAAATTTTAAATTGAATAATATTATTATTATTATTCACATTAAATTTAACAATTTTTTGAACTCTCTGGTATATTTATCTGTTGTATCGTATTTGTCCCAAATATGAAAATCTATGTCTATTATTTGATAATTATCTAATTGTTTCAGATGTCTTTTTGTTAAGTATTATCTTTTACCTTTGCTACATTAAACAATTTGGAGATTTTCTAATAACTTTCTTATTTAAATCCTATACAAAATGAGTAGGTCCATTACAATTAATTAAAAATTTGTTTTCTACAAAAAAGTCAATGTCATAAATTGATAATTTATGTTAATATTGATATTATAAATTAAGTCTTTTTAATAATTGTTCAATATTTTATTCAAAAGATGTTTTCTTTTTTTCAATAAGATCATCTTTGGTTCTAATTAAATTAGGAAAATTATCATTTTCAAAATAATCTATTGTTATATTACTATCTTTTCTATCTAAAAGCATTCTACATATTTAATAATCTTTGCAAAAATAATCAAAAAATATTTTATATTTATTGTTTTAATCACATTATGGATGATCATAATTTTATTTAATAAGTTCTGGATATAAATTAAACATTAGTTATGTATATTAAAATTAGAATTTTGATAAAAATATATGCTTTTTTTAATTTACAAATTTTTATTGTAATAATTCTAATAATTAAATAAGTTTCTCTTCTTAAAAATCATTTAATAATACTTAATTACTAACAATATGAATATGTTATACTAAATCTTAAATTCCAAAAACTTATGTGTAGTTAACTACTTTTTAGTGCATAAGATCTGGCCAAAATTAATCTTTTATTCCTAATTTATATAAACAATGAGAGATTGATTATAATTATTTAATTTAAATTTGATCTTATTTATTCTTTAATTGATTAAGAATAAAATTTATTAACTTTTCATCATATAATAGAACATTGCTTAATGTTAAGAATAATTAAACTAAATTTGGAATATCTAAATCAGGTTCAAAATTTTTAAATTATCTTAAACAATTAGTAACCATATCTTTAATTATGATTCCACAATTTCTTCTTTCATGAAATCCTCCTAAAAATATTAATTTTTATAATATTTCTTAATGAGTGTCTTACTTTAATTAATCAATTGAACATAAGGATGGAAATTTTAAAAAGTACCTATACAATTCAATACTATCAGCAATTTTCATTTATTTTGATAAAGCTATTTTGGCAGCATTAAATACAGGATTATTCATTAGAATTTTAATAAAATTTATTTTAATAACCAAAAAAATTTATATATATTTTATTCATACATTTAGTTTTGATATAGGGTGGTAAAACTTTGCTTTTAAAGGTGAGATAAATTTTGGAGAAAAAACAGGTACATATAATTAGGGATTTTCTTATACTATTGTTTTTTGACTAATAAGTGAAAATGATCTTTAAAAACTATTATTAACTGAGGATGGTTAACCTGAAAGTTATGATTCATTTTCCTCCAAAATTATCGATTATTATAATTATTCTTAATTATTTTGATGTTCTTTCTATGCTTATTTTCGTTTCCATTCTTCATAATAAGGATTCACTTTTTTTTATTATTTTTAAACTATTACAGATTAAGATAATATTTATTAATAATTTTAAGTATCATTTTTGATGCTATTTTAATCATCTGCTCTATTATTTTAAGTTAAATATGATGGTAAGATATTATTGGTACTGGTTTCATTTGATTAATTTTTTTTTTTATCTAACCAAGCTTAATAATAAGAATTATTTGGTTTTTTTTAAGTAGATATAATTTCACTTTAAACTTTTCTATCATCATTTGGTTAATTTTTTTCTTATTATTATCTTAATACTTCAGCTTATTATCTTTTTAGTTCATCTATTTCTGTTTATTTCCAAGTTTAAATCAATTATTTTTGTTTTTATTTCTATAATTGCATAATTTCCATTTAACTTGGAATATGTAAAAAATGAGATTTAACACTGCTTGTCATTGATTAATTCAAATTATTCATTGATTAATTAAGTCTATCCTCATTTTAAGATAGTTTAGGTTTTACAGATTAAGACTTTATAGGTGTTTTTTTTATTGGTTGTGTTTTTGTGTCATTAGATATTTATGGTTTTTTAGATATTTAAGATATGGTGAAATTAGTTGATTTAGAATTGAAGATGGATGACTGTTATTTAATTTCTATTATACCACTCTTATATTACTCTAGAACTTGTAGGGCATTTGTACTATGCTTATGTATAGAAGGATTGAAGAATATCTAATAATTTATAATTGAATTTATACATTCTCAAGATCTCTCCCTTTGTAAATATTCAGGGCTGCTCTACCTCCAGGATGTCTATCAGCAAATTCTGTCAAATCATAAACTGAGTTGCGATACACATAGAGCAATCTTATTACATCTTTTATACTAATCTATATTACCTATTTGAGGATTATTGTTCCTTCTAAAAATTTTAGAATGAAGAGAATTTTTAGAGATGTTTGCTCATTAATTAATTTAATAATGATAATTTTAATAAATCTTAATATAATTCATATATAACTACATTATTTCAATAATGCTATTCTTTTTTATATTTTATTAGTTGTTATTCATTTTATCTTTTTATTTTTATTAATCTCTTATCATATTACATAATTTTATACAATTTAATTACTAAAATTAAATTAAATTTAAAAAATTTTCTCCATTACTAAAATAGTATTGATGAAATTTTTATATATTCTTTAAATAGATAATAAATGATTAATTATATATTATAATAATCCATAAATTTATGTATTTTTAAAATTAATTTCTTGATAAATAAATAAAAATCGATATTCTTTCAAAAAACATATAGAAACTTTCTTTATAAATTCCAATTAGGTTATTTTATTCTTTAAATTATACGTAGTATATGATTAATTTTATTTTTTATATACAAAATATTAAATGAAAAGAACTTGAGACATTAAATATTTAAATATATATCTATCAATTATATTACTATGATATTCTATATTTAAAATTGTCTTTAAATTCATAAATACTTTAATATTATTAATCTTAGATATATTTAATATTGAAATAAATATATCATAGGTTATATCTTAGTATAGTTTTATAGATTTTGTAGTTTTAATTGAGATGGAAATTATTATTTATTAATTTATAAAGAAATGGATTATAATAAAATTAATAATACATCATGTAATTATATTAGTGATCATTAGCAAATATATTTAATGAGTCCTCATAATTTGATTAATCCAGATAAGAAGATGTATTGATTGTTTATTATTTTTAAGGTTGTAAATTTTTTAAGAGAACCAAGAGCATCAAAAAAATTATCTTATTAATATCCAGTTGTAGAAGAAGCATCTTCATATTGGGATCGATTATTAGCAGGAAGATTAGATTCAATTTCATTAATCCCAACTACTAAATGTGCAGTGTTTACATTATTTTTGATATCATTTTATATGGGTTTGTTCGGATTAATTTTGTTTGGAGTTTCTACAAATATAGTTGAGATTAGGATACCTTATGGTTAAGAGTGTGATCAATAAAGCTTTTGCAATATTACATTCTTTGTAGATGAATTAATGGCAACACCTGTTTATGTATATTATGAACTTTCCAATTTCTATTCTAATGATTTAAAGTTTCTATTTATTGTTACTTTTAAGTTTTGTCTAATCTATAAATAAGGATTAATTAATGGGTTATGATATAGATTAATAAAAGTATTGTCCTAATGCTTATTTACAATCTTAGATGAATAGATAAAATATGAGTGCAAGTGGACATCATCTATTTCTAGATTATGCAAATCCATGTGGTTTGGCAGCTAAATATATTTTTAATGGTAATTATAATTATTAAATTCAATAAGATACCTTCTATATAATGAATACAGAAAAATTGACAATAAATGTAACAAACCTTTTGTTACCAATGTATAAAAAACAATTTAAAAGACATTAATATTATTTCAAATAATGGTTAGATGTAGAAAATGGTATTAACATTAAAGTTATTAATTAGAATAAGTTTAAAGTTGGTTTATACCTTAAGTACATTCAAGTCGATTTATACTTTATGGCATAATAAATGGTAATTTAAATTAAGGAAGTTATAAATTTTATATAAACAATTAATATCCAATATAAGTATTTGGAGGAGAAAAGACATTAGTACTTTAGAGTGCATCAGAATTAGGAACAAAAGGTTTAACTATAGGTTTAGTACTTCTTGGAGGTAGTGGATTTAGTGCATTATCCTCTCTTATGTTGTACATATTAAAAAGAAATAAATCTAAAACATAAGTATAACAAGAATAAATTTGAATAATATGTTTTTCATAATTTATAATTCTTATTGAATATTCATTAAGTAAATAAATAAATCAATATCAATATTCTTGATAGATGTTAAAGTGTAGCTTGATTATTCAAAATATCACATTATTCTTATAAACAATCAATTAAAAGTTTTGCATCATCATTTTATAATTTATCATATTAAGTACTTACACATTCTCCTAAATATTAATCTGTATCATATTTGAAATCCTCTAAACAAAGTGTTTTACCTTAAATATATAATCCTTAACAAATGTCTTTTAATAAACAATCCTAATATTATTAATAACATTATTAATTATATCCTAAAACATATGTTAAACACTAAAAATTTTATTTAAAATTATGAATACTTCTTTCATTTTTGCAACTGACTTAGATTAAATTAAATTGGACAATAATCCAATAAGTAATAAATTGAAGATTATTTTCATAAATTAATTTATAAATAAATCATTATTATTCTTATATTTCTATATCATCCATAGTTAAGAGTCTTTAAAATATATATACTTAATTGTAATTTTAATTTATTGGTTGAATAGGATTATAATTATAGATTAATTTATTAGAATCTAATCCAAATTTATTTGAATTCATTCTACAAGATTAAATAAATTAATAACTGTGAATTCTACTAAATTAAATGGCATGAACTGAATGATTTGCAGGAATAGTCCATTCAAATGGATTTTTCTCTGGATGATATTAAAATGAGTAGAATGGCATATTAATACCATCTGTAGAAGTTATGAATAATTATCCTTCATCATCAATTTAAGTTGAAGTGATTCTTAAATATTCTTTTAAAATAGGTGTTATTTCATATAAATTTGGAGGTACTGCATGAATATGATGATAATAAGCTAAATTTTCTTTTAATGTAGCTTAAAATAATTCATCATTCATCTAACCATAAAAATATGCCTATCTATATTAAATATTTAATGGTTTTGATACTTTATCATTACCCTTCACATCAATCAAAAAATTCTATAATTAAAATCTATAAATATACATCAGAATAATTTGATAGAATGTAATGCATCACTTCATGTCCTAGACATATTCCTATTATAGGAAACCATCCTCCTTCCTTATTTATTTTCAAAGCCTTATTTACAAGATATGCCACCTTCTAAGTATATAATGAAGGTCCTTTTAATCCTGTAGATCCTCCTGGTATTAGTATACCATTAATATTTGAAAAAATCTCATCTAAAGTTGTATGATTTGCTTCATAGGGAATAGGGATCACTCTTGCTCCTCCTGATTCCAAAAATTTAACATATGACGCAGCAATGTAAGTATAATTTTCATGATTATATTCTGAAAATGTTGAAGGTTGTGTAAAAATTCCAATTACTGGTTATTCTTGAAGTTAATAATCTGTAGATTTCAATTTATTATATGCTATAAGTAAAGCAGAAACAAGAATAACAATTTTTGTAATCATTTATTATAATTAATAATAATCTAAGAGATTCTTAAGAATGATAATTATATATATATATAAATATAAATGAATTAGAAATAATCTGATTTACTATCTGTTACACCAAGAGTATTATCTAGTCGTAGTAGTTAGCCTAGTATTTATTTATATGAAAATTAGATGAATAGTTACTTGAAGATACCTCTAGGAAACCATCAATATTATTTACAAAATTAGAAAAAGTTCAATTATCACATGAAGCAAGTGAAAGTGTATAATCAAATGAGTCTTAAGAAATGCCATAAAAATTTGTATAAGGATTCAAGAATTAAATTTGGAAAGAAAGAGCTTTGAATGTTATTGTTTTAGTAGCCAGATTTGTTACTTATTTATTGACTAATTCAGATAAATTTAAACTTAGATACTTAGAATTAAGACAATTCAAAGTTATAGGAGATTAAGCATCTGATTATAATTATTATTTGACAAGAAGATTAATTAGAGCTAAATCAAAATAACATATATGTGTAAGTATGGCTTAGTATTTAATAAGTTTCATCTTAAGGTTGTCTTTAAGAAGATTGTCCATATATTTCGTCGGCTTGGAATTAATATTTCACCTATAACTCCTGATCACACTTTAAAATTACTTTGGGATCTATTTGTATTTACTATACTAATCATCAATATTATATATATTCCATTGAAAATTTCATTTGAAATTTAAGGATCTAATGATGGCATTGACTTTTTCCTTGAAACCTTACCATAATATGTATTTATTTGTGAGATTTTATTGAATTTTAATGTTGCCTATTATAGTAGAGGAATTTTGGTTTTAAATTAAGTTTAGATAATAAAACATTATTTAAAAGGGAAATTTATAACTGATTTTATAGTTTTGATTCCTTTTTTGATTGGTAGATCCAATGTTCCTTACATAGAATTCGTATTATTGTTGAGAGTTTCAAGAGTAACTTCACAACTTATTAAATTTTTAGATTATGTTCATTTTTGAAAATTTGGTTGAAACCTTAAATTTGAGAGTCAATTTTGCAGCTGTGATTGATTTAATATCATTATTAGCAACATTTTTGTTTGCATCTCATTTAATAGCATGTGTTTGGCATTTCATTGCTATTCAAGAACATCTTTATTAGAATACAATATACACTTGGGCAGACAAAGCTTAATTAGAATCTGATTGGATTAGTAGATATATTACATCATTTTATTGGGCTTGTATAACAACCTTAACAATTGGTTATGGTGACATAACCCCAGTAATATTCATTAATATTTATTAGGTAACTCAAATTGAAAAATTATTTGTCATTTTTGTAACCTTATTGAGTTCTATTATATTTGGTTATACAATCTCAAGTATTGGAGCAATATTTACATAAATCTCTGAAAATAAAAATTATCTTAGAGATAAAATGACTATGATTGACTCTTTTATAAAAAGAAGAGGATTAAATAAAGAGCTTTAAGTAAGAGTTAAAAAATTTTTTGAATATTATTTAAAAACATAAAAGAATACAGACTTTGAATGTGAAAAACTTATGGAACATTTATCAGGAACTTTAATAAGAGAAGTTAAAATTGATTTTTACAAATCTTTATTCTTTCAATCAAAACTATTTAGATAAAATTTTTCTGATGAATTTATTTCTAATCTTTGTCTTTTGGTTAAAGAATAAAGTTTTGTACCTGAAGAAGTTATTTTTTAAGAAGGTTAATAAGTAGATCGAATGTATTTTATTTTAAAAGGGGAGGTTGAAGCAAATGTGAGACATAATAAATTAGTTAAGATTTATAAAAGAAGATAAGCTATAGATGAGAAAGGATTTATTTCTTAAAATTGTGCTTAATTTACTTCAAGAGCAGTTAAATTTTCTAAATTAGCTTATGTTACTTTTGAAGATGTTCTAAGTTTACTATAATTAAATAAAGAAGATCTTGAAAAATATTATAGGATTAAACATTAAATATAATTTGGAGGTAGAATTAAATTTAGTGGATGTGAACTTTGTTATTAAAATCATATTTTTACAAAGTGTCCTTTTGTCTTTTATACACCCAACAATATGAGATTATTTAGAAAAAAACATAATTAAGATTAATAAAATAGATAATTTTAATAAAGAAAAATATCATAAAAATTATTTACTCATAAATCTATTATTAATTTAAGAATACTTTAAAAGAGTATATTAGAATATGGAAATTCTACATTTTTATATACTGATCTTCTTCCTGATTGTGATTTCTTTTAGATTAATAAAAATGATGAACTTAATTGTGATGGTGATGGTTAATCAATATCTGAAGAATCAATGAATTCACCTGATAATACAGGTACTTAATTTAAACACTAATATTCATCTTAATCATAATAAGCTAATTATATGGCTTAATCAATATCAAAAAATTTGAATAGAGTTTATTAAGAACCTGGAATTTCCTCTCTACGTATTAAAATTACAAAAGGTACTAAAAAATAAACTCTTAATGCATCAAATTAAAAAATTGTTCATGATAATGAAGATTAAAAAGAAATTAATTTAGATAGTAAATAAATTATATTGAGATAAAATAGTAAATAATTATAAGATTTATAATCAAAGTCTACTAAAGAAATAAATTTTGAACCCACATAAATTAAATTAATTGAATAAGAAATTGTAAAAAATATTTTTGAATAACATGAACATTAAATAGATTCTTAAAAAGAATTTGAATTTTATGATATATAATTTAATTTAAGCAATATTATCAAAGATTTATTTACAAAAAAAAGAAAAAAAATGATGTTTTAAATTAGTAGAAAAAGATAAAAAAAATAATTATTTTGTGTTTTAAACAAAAGAGAATAAAGTTAAATTGCTATCAATAATAGTTTTTGCAATGTAGATGCATGATTATAAATTAATATATTTAATAATTTTATTAAAATAATATTTTCATTTTATTATATTATAATTTGATTTTATTTAAAAATTTATATCTAAATAATCAAACCTATATAAAATAAAATCATTTAACAGGACAAGCTAAAATGGTTTGTACATCTTCTCTACCAAGTAAAGTTTAAAGACGAATTACATACTATTTATAATCTTCATCAGAAAATGCTGAATAATACTCAATAGCCTATAATTTGTAAATTAAATTACTTTTTAATATGAAGTCATTAGATTTTGTAAAGAAATTTTATTAAGATTCTTAGAAAGTTCTATTTCATTAAAATTCATCTATTACAAAAGTTCATTAATTTAAATAGATTCAAATTTTTGTAATGTCACATCATCTTAATTAAATTTTTTTTAAGTTTATCCTAATTTATATGAATTAATTATATTATAAATCTAATCTAAGTTATTTGAAGTTAAAGTTTGAACAATTAAGCTACCATCATTCATTTACCAATTTAATAAGATATTTTTTTAAACTTTTTCAATTTTTTGAAGATTCATCATGCAATAGTAATTTAATAAAATTGATTCTTTGTTTTAATATTCAAGGTTTAATAAATGACTCTCACTAATTAAAATAGTTCTTGGAAATTATTTTCCATTAATTATTTAATAACATTGCAAATAATCAACATTTTATAATCCAATATTTAAATCAAATTCTTAATTCTCTTAATAATTTCCTAATTGAAGTAGATAATCTTTATTATTTTGGTTATTCTTAATTGTTTCCTAATATTAAAATTTATCATATTACAAGAAATTGTGGAAACATTTTAATTATTTCATAAAGCAAAATTGAAGGGCTCCATGGTCCTGAAATAATGTTTTCTAGATAATCTCTACCATCAGACAAGGTTGGTTTTGTAAACTTAGATTTATTTTTAAAGCTACTTAGCTTAATATATGGACTTTAGGAAAAACAAATGGAAATCTATTATCTAAATATAATGCAAAAATGATTGGCTTATCTGAATTTAAAGAATCTATTGGAGGCATTTCAACCTACTTTAGTAAGACATTTTACAATTATTTATAAATTAGGACTTAATGTTTTTAGTGTTATTTTAAATTCTTTTTGATTCAATTATGTCAAAGATTAAATTTCTATTATGTTTAATTTAATTACCTTTTTTAAGTCTTTTAACTTATATTTCATTTTTAAAGATTTCTGTAATTATACTCTCTGCATTATCCATATTATTTAATATTATATATAAAATTAATAATTCATAGAATTGATTTTAAAGATGAATAATTAATTATTTCTTTAAAGCTTATTATTGATATATTTCCAAAGAAATTTATTGAATATCAATAGTAGAGTAATATTTTTGATACTAAAAAATAAGCTAATATCATAAAGAACTTGATTATTTAATATATGTATATATAAATTATTATATTTATATATTATTAGAAAAAGAGGGGATGAGTTAAATATAGAAATTTATTTATGAATTAAAAAAGATAGCACGAAGAATTTATTGAAAAATTACCTTGGGATGATTACATGCATCATATACCAATTGTTGGAGCTAGCTTAACTGTTTTATCAATGATATTTGAATATAACATAGTAGTAATTACAAATTTATTGACAACTGGGATTTGGATTTATTATCTAGAGAAATCAAAAAGAGATATGTTAAAATATTATAAATCTGAGATGTAAGAAATTGTGAGTAAAATAATTGATACTGAACCAAGAGTTTAAGTAGAAATCAAAAAGTTTAACTCCATTTAAAGAAATACTTAAGCATATTTCTAACTTTTTATTTTTACTTTTATCTTTTAGATTTTAGCATTATACTTTGCATATTCAGGAGTCTTAACTTATAAAGTAATTTATATTCATAAATTTATTTAGAATCCCATAGATTTAGTATGTTATTCATTACTTTCTTTGTTTGTATTTTTATCAAATCGTCATTTTGAAAGTAGATATCAAACAGAATACAATAGAGATTTAATGCTTTAAATAAGAGTATTATAAGGAGGATTGGTAGTATTATCGATTGTAATGTCAAGATATGCAATTCAAAAAATGGATGATTTTTACAATTAATTTGTTGCCTTTGGATTATTGTTATGTTCAGCTTTATTTAGTTCTTATACATTTCATCGTTATGGAAAGACTAGCAAAAAATCATTTACTTTACTTTTGGTAGGGGCAGTGTTTCTTTTTTTAAGTGATGCCTTGAATATTGTATTAAAGGTTTAAAGAAAAGAATTGTTTGAATTAACAGTATTAATATATAATAATAAAAATAATAGGCTAGTGCAAATGTATTGTATCATGTCGGTTACTATTTTTTAGTATGGAGCCTCTTTCTTCATGCAAAAGCATATAATGATCATTTTTTATTATTACTGAGAATGAAGATGAATATTTGAATTAAAATCTTTTATTTAATTAAAAAAATGGTTGTCAAATCACTTGCTCACAAAAGAATTGTACATAAGAGAACAAAGAGATTTGTTAGATTTGAATCAGAGGATTATCCACATAAATTGAGACCAAGTTGGAGAAGACCAAGAGGTATTGATAACAGAGTCAGAAGAAGATTCAGAGGTAATAGACCTATGCCAAAATCAGGATATAGAAGCGATAAAAAAACAAGGTATATAAACAATAAATCAATATAGATATTTAGATTAATCAGGTTTCAGAAAATTATTAATTACTAATGAAAAAGATCTTGAATTATTGCTTACTAATAACAGAACATTTGCAGGTGAATTGGCTCATAATCTCTCAGCTAGAAAAAGAGCAACACTTGTTAGAAGAGCTGCTGAACTTAATGTAAGATTGACAAATGGCAAAGGTAAAATAAGAGCAGAAGAAAAAAAAGAATGATTTCATTTGCCCAATATAAAAAACATATACATTAAATTATATATAAATAATATAATAACATAAGTTATTTCTGTTAAATATGAATCAAAATATAAAATGAATTCCAATAGAAATCTAAATATATATATCTATATACATAATGTAAATATATAAAGAATATATAATCATCAAATTATTTTTGATTTGATTGTTATTATAAATGATATTAATTTACACAAAATTATCAAAATAAAATATCTCTTATTCCACAACGTAAATCTAATCCTTTTTTATATTTCTCACTTGAAAATTTATTTAAATCTAACATCTCTTGTGAACAATATTTGAATGGTGTATCACAATTCAAAGCACTAATTATAATTTATAATATTTACTCTTCATAAAATTATTAAAACACTTTATAATGTTTTTAATTTAAAAATTTCTTTCCTAATTTTTTTTCAAAATATTCTTCTCTATATTTATCAATATCTACATCATTTTTATCAATATTTCTTTATGCTATACTTCTGAGAGTTTCCAAAAATAATTATTATTGAACAATTACTAAAAATTGTTTTTTACCACTACTACCAATATATTTATTAGTTATTTCTGCAAGAAAATCAGCTTAAATTTATTTCATTCTTTGTTATTCATTAAGAACTTTAGAAGGAGGCATTAAACCATTTGGTTATGAATTACATAAAATGCAACCATTTTTTTAAATATCAGCAAAGTTATTCAATAATTGATTCAACCATTGATATCTAAGACTAGATAATTCTTAAGTAATTTTTGTTGGAGGTATATTTTTTAAATACAATCTAATTTAATCTTCTAAATTTAACCCTCCCAATAATATAATAGGTTATTTTGAATCTCTTTTTTATAATGAAAACTAATATAACAAAGATTCCATAGTAAATGGGACTTAATATCCTTATTAATATCCTGTTAGAATCTTCTTTTAATCATTTATTTATAACTTTTTTGTTAATTATTAAATAAGAGGATCAAAATTAGTTACAAAAACTTATTCTATTATTTTTTCTTCTTCTTTTTCTGTTTAATTTATAGAATCTACAGTTTTTTAGATATTCAATTCACTATCATTTTAATTTTCATTTATAGCAATAGGAGCCATATTTAATATAATAATATCAGGTTTCTTTTCTGATATCAATTTTTTTGTATCTATAATACTTTCATAATTATTTTAATATACTCCTTGTATTCTTAAAATAATGCCATTCTTATGAGTTAATATTGCTGCACTAGTTAATGAATTAGGATCATCTTTAATCATGATATTCCAATCTTCTTATTATTTAAGTTGATATATATCTGAATGAATATAATTAAAATTTTCAGTATGTTTAGCAGATGATGTTTTCTCATCAATTTAAATTAAATCATTAAAATTAAGTTACCTAGCGAAATGATAATAACATTTTTAGAGAGTTTCTACTTGTTGATGATTAAAATACTAGGCATGCTTTTTATAAAATTTATATATTTCTCTATACAACCTTACATCGTTGGCTGAGAGATTTTCATTTAATACTTTAACTAAATCTACTGCTTTTTAAGGAGTATCCAATTTAGATATATTTAAGTTGTGAAAGATTTATTTGGAAATCTCTACTATTTTTTTAGTATTCTCAGAATTGATTAATTTTGTATTTTCTAAAGCTAATATAGTATATTAAAGGTCATTTGCATATAATAAACTTTCTTCAATCTATTTAATTTTTTCAATATAAACATTCTTTATGAACTTATATAGCTTTGTTTTTTCTCTGCATACCTTATAAAAAGTAAAATATTTATTGAACATAATTATAAATTTTATAGTTTAATTAATTTAGAAAACTCTAAATTAGATGTTCTATAATGAATATAAAATTATAAGAATAATGATAATGTTAATTAAATATTTTTCATTATTTAATGATTTTATGCTTAATTAATATCTCTCTATAAAAATCTAAATCTTCTTCTTGTTTTTCAGTTATTTTTTTTTATTATAAACTTAAGTTTCTGAAATAATCTACTTCTTCTTGCAATTATTCATTTTATTTCTTTAATTCATTGATAGTTGAGACTTTGATTTTTAATTCTTCTTAATAAAATGAAGATTCAACTACTTCTATTTTTGATTAACTTACATTATTTTAATTATGTCTATATTAAATTAAATAATATACGTGTTTCTATATCTTTCAAATTCATCTGTTAATTTTGATAGAACTTCTCTAAATTATTTAAGTTCTTCAATTAAATGTTAATTTTCTTCTGTTTTTTAAGAAACTAAATTTTAATATTTTACTTTATCATCTCTTTCTTTTTTTAATTCTTAATCTAATTAACGAACACTCTTAAATTTATCTTAATTAATAATAATTGCCATTTCTGCATTTTCATTTCTTAATTTATTTAACATTTCATTTTTCACTTCTAATAATTTTACTATTTCACCAGTATCCTTCTCATATTTCTTAATTGTTTCTTATTAACTTCTTTATTATAACTTATATAGAATTAATAATTACTTTTAATTATTATAATTATTTAGTTAAATTAACAATTTCTCTAGTTAATGCTTCACTTTGAGAATCTAATTATTTTGTATTTGTTGGTTTTATTTCTTTTTTTTCTTAATTGTCCTTATCCTTATTCTCTTTATAGTTATCTCCACAAAATTTTAATTTTTTTACAGGAAGTCTTTAAGCAGATTATTTGACTAAAGATTTTGCTTGATCCAATATTTTAGAAGAATTAGATTAACCCTGTTATTAAGTAATGGATGTTTAATTAACAACTGAAACAGTTGAATTACTTAATGAATAATCAGAAATTATTTCATCCTCTTATGTTTATACCTCAAAATTTTATCTTTCTTGTAATTCAGTTTGTGTATGTTTTTCTATTTAAAGAAATTGTTATCCCAAATATTTTTACAACATTGTATTCAATTCTTTCAATTTCTCCCTAATATTTAAATATCTACATTACTTTTATAAATTATTCTCCTTTTATAATAATAGTCTTTCATCTTCCAGTCTTAATACAACATCCACTTAATATTCTAATGCTTCTTATAACTCCAATACTTCTTTACTCATAATATTTTAAATTTGATTCTAAATTGATTTTTAATTATATAACGAATAATTTTCTCACTTTCTTAAACTACTTATTATACACTTATTTTATATGATACACATTTATAACCATCTTTAAATGAATTGAAAATATAAAAAATGTTATTATTCGAGATATTACTAATTGTCAAAGGACATTAATTATAAAATTAATAAATGGCTAAATAGTTTTACTTAATTTTTTCTGATAAAAAAATAAAGTTAAAAAGAAAAGAATACATACTTGGAAGGAGTAAGGCTTAAGCATCTATAGTAATTAAAAATGACTCAATCAGCAGACAACATGCTAAATTGATTGTAGGCAAATCTAGTATTACAATTCAAGACTTAGGATCTGTTAATGGAACAGAAATTAATAATAGAGCTATTAAATAAAATTAGTTGGTTTTATTAAGATAAGACATGAAAATAAAATTAGGTGAATATGAATCTGAACTTGAAATTTAATTTGAAACTATTGATAGTGATATAGAACTTTCAAGATCAAGAAGTAGATCAGATTCAAATAAAAAAACTAAATAAAATAAGACTAATCAAGAATTATAGAAAAAATAAAAAATTTGGAATATGGGTGGATTGAGTAAAGAAAATTAAGATAAACTTAAAAAATTGATGGGGGCAAAAAATGAATCAGATGATGATGAGTAAGAGAAATAAAAGGAAGAAATTGAAAAAAGAAATAAAGAATTAGAATTGCAATACAAAAGGGCCATGTAAAGATAAAAATAAAAAGGAATTGGTTTATGAATATATTTATTTATTTATTATGAAAAGCATGATCAAATACCCACAAATTCTTTAAAAACCATACTAGTTTTAACTGATTTATTTTAATACAAAGCATTTAAAAATTAAGCTAAAGCTTCTTATCGATAAGCTATAACATCCTACTATTTTTAAAAAGGTTCATTAGGTAAAACAGGAATTTGATATTGGCTTTCTAATAGCTAAAAATTAATTTTAATCTAACCTTTTTATACAAATCTTTAAAATCATTATACCTTCTTTAAACAGTAGCGACAGTTTAACCATTTATTGATCCCTCAATTTTATAATACTATTATATTATTGTTTCATACTGTAATTTATTAAAGGTTTTTAACTTCCTTAATAATGAATTTATGTCCATTTCCCATCCCTGGTTATATATTTGATGAATATCGATCATTACCTCGTTGGGAATATTATGATTAATCTTACGAAGATATACTATATTTAGGATCAAAACTATCATCATTAAAATCTTTCTCTAAATAACTTTATCTGGATGTTACACTTGCCTTTCTTATTTCTAAGAAATCATCAAATGACTTATCTTTTAATACTTGATCTATGTTAGCTTCCTCTAAAATATAATTATATAATTTACTTTCATCTTCAATATTAATAGGTCCTGCAGTTTCCTCTAAAAATTTATCTAAAGTTTAACATTACATTTGATTTTTAACTATAAATTATAAGAATTTTTCAAGAGCTTCACCTCTACTTGCAACATCTTTTCCAGTCAATCTTTCATTTGGTTTTTTTTCAGGTATTTCTGGAAAAGTGTGATCCACATATTTTTATTATAAAGCTAATCTTAATTATTAAAATTCTTTCAAATTATGTTCAGTTCTGACTTGTCTTTATTTAGAATTTGAAAAATAGAATATCTTAAAATATATGAATCTTTTTCCTTATTTTTTAATTTCTTCAAATCCTTCAATTTTAATACTTTGTATTTCATATTTTTATTTAACATTGATTTCTTATTATTTCTATTAATTTAATTAATCTGAAAGCTCTGTTAACTCTTAATTAGTTGTTTTATTATCCAAATTGAGAGGCTATTTTTATTGTTATTAATTTATTTCACTATCCTATTTTAATCTGTTTAATTTCTCATCTAACTACTTATGCATATCCATAATTTAACTCATTAATTCTTTTTACTCTTTCTCCTTTTAAATAGCCTCTTCTTCTTTCTTTAATCCATAGGTTGGATCAATCAATCCTGACTATTCCAATTTTAACTTTTATATACTAGAAGATCCCAAAGAATTTTATTAACCATCTTCCTTATTAAAATCATCTTACTAATCTAAAAATGATTAACTTCTTTTTGGATTTTTAGATATTGATTATCTTTAACTTTATGAATTAGAGTTAGATATAGCATTCTATTTTTAAATTTATAAAGATAATGAATCATCACTTAAAAAATGATTTTAAAGTGTATTAATGCTTATAAAATTATTATCATCTCTATTCTTACTAATTTTTTAATAATCAAACTTTGGAAAGAATAAGCTTATTATATTTATAATAAGCATCATTATGAAATTGCATATATATACTGATGCTTCAACAGTTAATTCATCTAATCCTTTATTTTCTTTTTCTATATTTCTCTCTATTCCAAATACTAAACCTGATGTAAATTAAATTATCAAAATAATGGCTAATGCTAGACGCAATTATCTTAATAATATTTGATTTCATACTTTGAAAACTTAAAAATAGAGCGATAATCAACGTAAAATAGGAAAGCACATAATATCCATAAAAATGTATTAGATATTTCCATGAATCCAAAACTATTGTCCCACAAAATTATCTTTGATAAATGAATATAATATATACAGAAACTATACTTCCTATTATTAAGATACAAAATCCTACTAAAACAACTAAAAACTTTGCAAATATTCTTAAATTATTACCACTTCTATAATCTCTAGTATAAACTTATTATATATTCTTACATAGTGTAATCTTTAATTACTTGTCTTATTCTTTTCCATTCTCTTAAATAATATTCTCTGCTTTTGAATAATATTCCTAAAACTAGTAACAAGCCAAATATGTTCAAAGCATAAATTATTGTGCAACTTATTTAATTATCTGCACAATACATAATGTTTATAGATTAATTATTTATAATTTCATTTTTCTTCTAATCTGTATAAATGAAGTGGAATCTAAACAGATTCATTTCCCAATTCTGCTTTGATAAATCCAAATTCATTGCTTATAACCCATTATCTAAACACTGTTGGGTCCATTGAGTTCTTATTTTTTATTTATAAAATACATTCTATTAAGCAAACTTTATAAAGAGCTCTTAAACTTAAGTGTAAAGTTTGTTCAATTATCCTTATGCCCAAGCATTTATTTTTGATTATGTTAATTAATATGGATTCTGACCTGAACAAACTTTTTCCCCTAATAATCTAAAAGCACTCAACCAGCTATCCTTCACAAAATCATAAAACTCTTAGAATTCTATTTTGTTATCTTTGTTTTTGTCAATCATTTAAAAAGAATCTAACTTTACACTAATATAGATTACATGTAATCCTTTTATCTTTATTATTAATCAATGTTGTGATGCCTTCCAAATATTCTCTTTCAGTTATGTATCCTTCTTCACTCTACAATATAAATTTAAATGATACTTTATCTAATAATTAATATAGTCTATCGGCTAAAGGAGTATCTCTCAACCTTTTCAATTATATACTTTCAAATATCCCGAGTGCTTCATTAAATTTATCTCTTGTTAATCTTCCTTAAGGAGAAGCTTGTTTGAAAGCTCGCTTTATTTACTCTTCCACCTCCTAAGTAGTGTTTTATCTTGAGTAATTTTAATTTTAATTTGGATCAATGACTGTAATTGATGATTATCCCATAATTATTAAAAATATTATAATATATTTATTCTAATTTCTCAACATTTACTATTATTACAATTCTCTATTTCCTCTAAATTATATCATATTCTTGAAAGCTTTATAAGGTATTTAAGGAATCTAGATGAAACATGAAAAATTCAGATTTAAATATATTGGAATTAATACACTCTCTCTTCAAATAATCTATGAGATGCATTTTTTAATAATTTTATGATTTATAATTAGTGAGTTGTATATATATTTAAAAATATATTTTAATTCACTTTGTAGTTTAAATCAAAAAATTTTATTCTTATGATAAAAAAATATAATATTGTATTTTAATTTTTAAGTTTAATAATTTAAATAATTTTTGCATTTATAGTATTAAATTTGGGAATATAGCTCAAATAGGAACAGCGTTAGATTGAAGATCTAATGGTTATGGATTCGACTTTAATTGTTCCCATTTTTTATGTATTTTTCTAATATTTAATCTAAACTAATATATATGGAATAATATAAGATGATCAAAAAATTTGAATGATTGCCATTTTTGATTATAAAATGATACAATTTTTATACAAAATAAACAAATAAAATGTTTAAATTTGAATTAATATCATGTGATGATCAGAGAAAAAGGGAAGAGAATATTAATATTAAGGGATTACAAAGAATTTTTAATTTTTTTGATAATCAATCTTAATTCAATCCATATCTTCGATATCTTCATAATAATCAAACTCTTCCAATGCAGCAGAATCAACAGTCATATCAATACCTTATGATTATGATTATTGCATATATTCATCTGATTCTTAAAATTAATCCTATTACAATTGAGAATCTCTTAAATCCTTTGATAATATAATATTTATACTTCTCCTTCTAACTATTCTTCCAAATCATCATTATCAAACTTTTCATCCTCGTAATTTCTATGTTCAAATTTTTTAGCTTAACCTTTTCTTTATTCTGCTTCAAGCTTCTCTCTTTCTTATTATTGTTTAAGTAATTCTTGTTATTTTTATTATTCTTTCAACTTTTCTTATTCTTTTCTTTATTATTCTTACTTTTATTATTCTTATTTTTATTATTATTCTTATTATTTTTTAAGTTCTTCCATTTTTCTTTGCTCCTCCTATTATTTTCTTTATTATTCTTTTTTCTATTCTTCAAGTTTTTTCTACTCTTCCTATTATTATCTTCTTAATTCATCTTATTTTCTTTATTCTTCTTATTTTCTTTGTTCTTCTTACTTTTTTAATTCTTCTTATTTTTTTAATTCATCTTATCGTTTTTATTCTTAAAGTTTTTAATCTTGCAATTTTTATTATTATTATTATTATTATTATTATTATTATTATTATTATTATTATTATAATTGAATCTCTTTGGGTGAAGGTTATGCAATTTTTTGTTATTATCCCTTTTCCTCTCTAAAATAAAATAAATTTAAAAAATACGATTTTTTTTCAGGTTATCTATTTTTTAATAAAAAGTATAGCAAAGGCTTAGTAGAATCAGTAGCATCAATATTTAATTTTTTAGCAATCTAATCACGATTAATATCTTCTCTTAAATTGCTTTCACTATAATTGTATAGATTATATCATACCTTGAAAAAATTGAGTTGGTGTAGTGCATTTCAAAAAATAATAAAAACTCTTTAATTAATTCTAACATGTCTCTTCCGCATCCTAATTCATAAATTGTTTAAGCCTTATTATTTTCCCAAAAAAAAGGAGATGGTTTTTTATTATTGCCTTCCTGCTAATCAACTACATTAAAGACTGAAGCTCTTATCTAAGCTCTAATCTTAGCAAGAGATCCATTAGCCTCAAGAGATTGTATAACTAAGTTCTTAAGTTCTGTTAACTCCTACATTATTAAAATTTGAAATATATATATATATATAGTAAAATTAGCTTTTTTAATTTAAATACTTATAACATGAGAAACAATCACATAATTTATCTAAAGATATTACATATTCTTTATTTTATATATCTAATTATAGTATTTATTAAACAATTTGAAATATAATAAATATAAAATAAGTTCATCGTTTTGTTAAAGGGCTGACTGCTCTGAATTAATTTATGATATTTTATTTTAATGAACTAATATTATTGTTTGTGTTACTAATAACCTTAGTTTATTCTTAATCAGGTTTATCTGGTCTAAGTTTTTGATTTTAAACAAGTTTTTAAAGTTCATTAAATTATACAGTTTTTTAAATATTGCTATTATTATTTGTATTTGAGTTTTAATTTTTTGTATGTTATTATATCTTAGAAAAAATAAAGTTCTTAATGTTTTGAACATTTGAATTGGGATTACTGTTTTCATTGTTGAAATTTCCTATATTTCCTTATGTTATTAAATTTTATTATTATTAATTATTTATGTGAAAACTTTCATTTTATTCTGTTTAAAGTCTATTATTTAAGAAAGATTTTTGAAAATTTTGATTTTTACTAAGAGGCATAGGAGAAACAGTTTATTACTTTGTAAAAGGTGATTAAGTAGCACTAACTGTTTTAATTTATTAGGTTAATGGAATTTATTTATTTAGTTGACTTTTAAATTATAAATTGGGACTTTAAAAAGGGGAATTTGTTGTTTTTGTATTTCCTCTAGAATTAGATGGTCTTGATAATTCTAATTCTTCCAAAGCTTTTTAAATTGGTCTCTTTTCTTCAAAATCTTCTTATTTATAAGTATATCCAACAAAAGTCATTTCTTTTTTAATACTCTTCTAACCCTTATTAATCCAAGGTTCCTCTTCTTCATATTTATCAAAATTGCTAGTATCTAATTCACTTCTAATAGTAGGAATGTAAGGTGCTTTCATATCTCTTATTTTTAAAATAGACAAACCACCAAACCAAGGATGTCTTATAATTTAATCATATGTTAAACGTGTATTTGCATCACAAACTAATTTACTAATTAAATCTTTAGCCAATTATGACACCTTTGGTTCTTCTGGAAATGCAAAACATTACTAAAATCGAATAATATTTTGACAAGTTGTTGAGGGATCATCTGTATAAAATGGAGGATATCCTACAAGCATTTCATATAAAATAACTCCAACACTCCACCAATCAACTGAACTATCATATCCTTTTTACAAAAACACTTCAGGAGCTATATAATCAGGAGTTCCAACAGTAGAAAATGCTTTCTATTTTATATATAATTTAATTACTTCTCTTCTAGTCTATTTAGATTTAAATTTTTAAGAAAATATTGGTTTATCAAAATGAAGTTCAGCATCTTTACATAAACCAAAATCAGATAATTTTATATGTCCATTGTTATCTAATAAAATATTATCTGGTTTTAAATCTCTATGTATAAATCCTAATTTATGAACAGAAGCAACTGCTTAAACTAATTCTGCCATATAAAATCGAGCTTCTGCTTCTGAAAGTATATCTTTTTTCATTAATAATGTCATTAAATCACCTCCAGGTAAATATTCCATAACTAAATATAAATTTTTTTCATCTTAAAATGAACATTTCATTTCAACAATCCAATTATTTCCTTTTGCTTCTTCTAAGACTTTTCTTTCATTAGTGACATGACCAATTTAATTCTTAAAAATCATTTCATGCTTTTTCATTTTCTTAACTGCAACAATTTATTAAGAAGGCACATGTCTACATAATCTAACTTCACCAAAGGCTCCTCTTCCTATAATGGCTAAAGGTTGAAAATCTTCAATACTTAATTTAGTCCGCCTATATAATTTGAAATTTTGAATACTTTTTTCTCATTTATTCTGCTTCTTTTTTTAAAATTTCTTTTTTAATAATTTCTTATTCTTTTGGATTCATATGTAAAGCATCCATTAATTTTGATAATTACTGCCAACCTTCAAATTATTATTTTTCTTCTTATATTTATTTTGCATATTTTCCTATAAAAATATAATAATTAATTAATACGTTCTATGTATAATCTACAAGCTTCAACTCTATCTCGAGTGGCATTAGAAATTTATATTTCTTTTTTTCCAATCATTAACGATTTTTATATTAATTTTTATTTTATTTTGAATTTATATAAAAAATAACAAATATGTTGAAGTATTTTACTTAAATAAATTAATGTATATATATATATAACATTTTCAATATAATTGATTTACAAATTCTCTTATTTTAATTAAATCTGAAATTAATTATGTATAAATTGTACTAGTTTATCCTGATTAAACAAGATTATCTACTTCCTTATTAAAATTATTAGTATTAAGAATTTTTCTTATTTACAAACTAATTAATTCTTTTTATTCATTCACTAAACGTGCTTACTTTGCTAATAACTAAGTCCAACTATTCAAAGTCTAAGAATCAGATTTCTTAACATATTCTGAATAAGGTTCATTTATTATTTTATCAATTCTTTCTTAACTTGTTCCAGAACTTATATCAATTTTGTATTCATCATGCATAAATTTCATAAATACAGCATCTGTTACTAAAAAGTCTAATGATTATTAATTAATTGTTGCTCTAATATTGAACCTTTTCCATTCCATTATTCCTAAGATAAAAGGAAATGGTTAATTTCCAGCATTCAAAGATTGTATAAAGTATTTTAATAAATATGAGATCTTTCTTCTTTGATTAGCAAGCATTAATGTCATAGTTCTATATTTTTAATTGATTTTATCTAAATCTTTTTTATCTTTGATTTCTCTTTTTTGATATGGTTTTTTCTTTTTTATTGGTTCATCTAATATTATATCTCCATTTTATTTATTTAATTTTGCATTTATTGCTGTTTTAATTTTTAATAATTGATATGCAATAAGTAAAAATTCTTTAGTTTCATCATCACAATCATCTATAATTACTTTTTTATCTAATAAATAATTTAATCTTTATTCAACTTGTGTAAACATTTTAGCTACTGTACCAAATCTAGATAGTTTTTTGAGTTCTTCAGAGTGAATATTTATATTTTCATAAATTTCTTAAAGTTAAAATGATAATATTTCATTTTCAGTTTAATTTTCTTATTCTTTAAAATTAGTAGCTATTATTTAAAAGTAATAATTTTTAATTGCTCTCCAAGTTGTACATCTCTGCAAATAAGGGAAATTAAAAATCTCTATAAAATCTTTAACTTCAGGCATTGTTAATATTTAATCTAAAAAATCATGAGTAAATCTTAATTCAAATGCTCTTTTTTAACCAAAATTACTTTATTCATTAGCATGTAGTAATGAAATTTGAGTTAATATTTTTGGCAAAGCTATTTAATTTTTAACTAATTCAGATAAGACTATTTTACCGATTTTTCTTAAAATTATATTTTTTAATGGTCCAACTACTCTAAAGAAGTCTTCATTATCAAATCCAGTTACAATTTAATTTAATTTATTAACAAACTTACCATAAATAATATAGATTTCTTCATAATTTTTATTTGATTTCAAATCAATACTACCCATTTTTTGATATGTATCTTTAATTTATGCAACTTCTTAATAACAAAGAAAATTTGGACTACAATATTTTTCAATGTTTTATTCTAATTTTTTTAAGGATAACAAAATCAATTAATCTATTGGTAAATCTTCTAAATTCTTTTCTTATATATCTAAATTAACTTCATCCACTATATAATCATCATTTTCTTAAGCTTTATGAATATCATCAAGTAAAGGAGGATTGCGATTTTTTAATTTAATTGAATTATCTTTTACTTTAATAGAAGTCAAAATTTTAGGAACAACTCTATTTGATTTTAAAAGCTATATAAGTTTATCTTAAAAATATTGAATTTTAGTTTCTCTTTTAATAATTTTTTAATCATGCACCTATTTAAAATAATTTAGTTATTATTAAAATGGATTTCTTTTAATAATTTGCTAAATAGTTGGACACAATTCATAATTACGAGTTGAAAAACAAAATTCTTTTAATTTATTAAAAAAAAATTCTTCAAATACTTGATTATTTAATTCTTCGATATTAGTATACTTGATTTTAAGCTTTATTAAAATATCCTCTCTTTTCCTTATTTCTTTAGTTTTCATTATGTCTATAAATTATAATTTAAATAGTTTCATAATTTTTGGTTTTATGTGTATCAAATATATCATGGTAATAAATTGATTCTAAATTTTCTAGATTTTCATATTAACATTATTGATTCTAAGGTATATATTGATTAATTAAACATTTTCTCTTTATATAAAGTTAAATGAAAATAATATAATATGTAAAAAATAAAAAATAATCTTAGCAAACTATTAAACGATGAAAGCGTTTGCTTCGATTAATCATACTCCTTTATATTGTTTGTTAGGATGCTTTAATTTCTATAATATCTTGCAATCACCTTACAAGAAATCAATAATAATAATCAATTGAAGGATGGTCACTTTTCAATTTTTTTTCAAATTCTTAAGTTATCAATTTTAGATATCGACTTGTTACCTGATTACATTGGATATATTACTACTTTCTTTAACTTTATAGTATTTCTACTATTTATGCTGTAAATAGTTTATTTGAAAAGAACTTTACAAAATTTGATGAAGATTTTAAATGGGTATTTAGCACTTTTACCTTAAATTATGTGTTTTTTATTTGTTTCATCTACTTTTCGTTCCTTTTTATTGAACTCAAAAACACATATTGTAATTTATATATGGGCTATATTTGATGTTAGCTTAATCTTTTTATTATCTTTAATGTCATGTATATTGTTTAGAAATATTAACTTTAATTAATCAACTTATACAAGAGATTAAAGTATAATGAAGATAGTGTCTTAAATATTTTAATTTGCAACTCAAATCCTATATTTTTATCATGATTAGGAAGAAATATTAATATTAAAATAACTATCAGCTTTAATGTGGATAGGATTAGAATAAATTGATATATATTTATATATGCCTTATAGTTTGTATGATAGTAAATTGATTTTTACATTAAATTAAATTAAATTTGGATGCAATTTGATTAATTTGATTTTGAATAATTTATCATTAATAATAGAGACGACATATTCATAATATATTTATTACTTCATTTTTTCATCCATATGTTTCTATTTGGGAGAAACTTGTTATTAAAGATTATTTTATGCAAAGGGATTGGATACATTTACTAAATCAAGTGAAAAGGATTAACATTTATAAATTAAAGTATTAAGACAATTCTAAGTATAAGCTGAATCCTAATTAACATAAACTGAAAAACTTCTTTAGATTGGAATGGTTAATTAACATATTATCCATTGTAGTAGAAAATGTCAAGTATTTATATTTATTATTATATAGTCATTGGATAGTTCAGATGTTATAAGATGTATTGTAAATTATCAAGTATAAACAAAAGAAGATGAACATCTATTTTTATTTAAAGTAAGATATTTAGGATTTCAAAATAAATAATATTCATAAAGTTTAGCAAGACTTAAACATTATTAAATTAAATATAAACCAGAATTGTCATGGTATTTTAATTTAATATAAATTGATATCTCAAATAAATTAAGATAGGAAATAATGAAATAATAATAATCTTAAAAAGTATATACATAAGATACATAAAGTGCCAATTTATCATCTGAAAATTTAGTACATTTGGATATTTAATCAGATAAATTAATTCTAAATTTAAGAAAAACATTATCAGCAAAATTAGATATTTGGAGAAAATAACTAAAAGGTTTTAAAACAATTAGATAACTTCAATTAGAATTAATTAAGTTAGCTGAAGAATTAGAAAAATTAAGAAGAAAATTCAAACTTATTATAAATAAAGATGTTTATGAAGTGAATATTTCTTAAGTTAATAATTTATATCACTTAAGAATGTTATCATTATATTATTCAATCATTATGAATGATTAACTACATTCATTTTTATGTGAAAAATAATATTATCTAATATATTGTTATGAATAAACCCTTTAATAAGATTAATTAAATTCAATTGCTCTTGTACATGATAAAGTAGCTATAGTTACAGTTAGTTTAGTTAAAAGTTTAGGAACTATTTTGAATTCTAATAAATAATAATTAGGTCATATATTTAATTATAAAAAAGTAGAGGAATTTCAAAATATATTTCATTTGAATTAACTTATGCCTGATTTTATAGCCTCTAAACATAATTAAATGCTTTCAAAATTTTTAATTAAAGGTGATTCTCCATTCTTTTAAGAATTTAGAATGATTTTTGGAAAAACAAAAGAAAATTTTATTTTCCCTTTATAATTGAAACTTGCAAATGATTTCAGCTATGAAGATGATTATGTAATTAAAGGAATTTTTTTTTCAGGTGGAAAAAGATATGATTATATTTTATTTGATTAAAATGGAAGAATTTTAGGGATAACTAAGTAAATTTACTATGATTTATTTACAGATCGTGAAGAATCTTAAATAGATTTAAAATCTTTATATAGTTTCTGTTTTTTATATTACTTTATCCCAGATTTATTTGAAATTACTAAAAGATGTTATTAAAGACAAAAAGATTAATTAGAAAATGTTAATCTATAAGAAGATGCAATATTTATATCCTAAGCAGATATAAAAGAATTTCATGAGAATTTTCAATAATAATTGAAATATCATCTTAGAGATTTATATTGTATATGGAATATCAAAAAAAAATAGTCTTTGTCTAGTAATTATTTCTTTAATTATAAAAGTTAAATAAAGTACATCATCAAATTCAAAAGATAAAAATTAATTTGTAGAAATTAACTTATTAAATGATGAATATGCTAAATTTGCATCTGAATTTGTAAATCAAAATGTATTAAATTAATTTATATTTTTAGATCACATAACAAAAAACATGTTTTTTAAGATTTACTTTATATTTCTAAAAAAGCAATGCTGATGGATTTTTTATAATGTAAATATCAGATTATAGAAAACATGATTTAGGTGAAATAGCCACAGAATTGTTTGCTTTATAAGATGTAGATTCAACAATGAAAAAATCAACTTTGAGACATCTTAAAGGTAATATTGAATTTAATTTAGATTTTATTATTTCTAAAAGAAGATATGGTGATTAACGTGCTTTATAAAGTGTTTTCACTAAAAGAAAAATGTATTCAAAATAATTAGTATCTATGAATTAATCTGAGATATTAATGACTCAATAGTTATCATCCACAAATTTTACTCCTAAGGCTTGTTTTATTAAACCTGAGATTGCATTAAATTCTGAAATGGAATCTGTTTAAGAAGTTAGAAATTCAAGTTCTGAAGAATCTCATTTTTTAGATGAATTTATGTCTGAAGAAGACTCAAAAAAATAAAATAAAAGACATGAGAAAAAGATAAAATCATTTAGTAAAACTAATAATTTCTCTGATAATGATTAAAATCCTAATAAATCTCAAAATTCAAGTGGTCTTTCTAAAGTATCTAATAATTAGTCTTATTTCTTTTAAATTGTATTTAAGCAAAAATCTAAACTTCCAAAAAGCATACTAATTCTATGGTTTATTGTTTATAGTGTCAATTTAATAAGTATTGGAGGATTTGGATTTACAAATTATCATCTAATTTCAAATTATCATGAATCTTAATTATAAGCTTAACAATTTATGGGACCTTTAAGATTTAATCGATATTTTTGTAAGACATTATCATTAAGTTGGATATTCATATTAAATAATTATGGTATCTTAAATAATAGTTAATACTCAATATAATAAAGCTTATATTAAACTTCACTTTTAAATTAATTTGTTTTTGCGAATTTAACTTAATTATATCCAATATTCATTCAAATGGAGTCTGATGGAACATTAGAAAATATAACCATATAATATTCTGTTGATAATATTGAATAAGTAGAATTTACTAGATTGCTTTATTTTATGGAAGAAGTTATTCATTATTTAGTATAGATAAATACATATGATTACAGTAATTATAAGGAGTACATTAATAGATAATATATTGATAAAATGTTTTTGATTGAATAAAATTTACCAGAAATAATAGATATTGATTCTGATCTACTTATCTAATTAAAAGAAAATTTTAATACCCTATAGTAATTTGAAAGTACTATCTTTGTTATTGAACATCTGATACACACTGCAATTATCTTTCTTATTATGTTGGTGCAATTAATTTAATGGAATAATATTGAATAATAAAATAGAAATTTAGCATTGCTTGTAGGAAGAATCAAAGATAGTGAAATAGAAACTGAAATTTGTAAATATATATATATAATATTTTCAAGTAAGAGCACATGCAGTTTATATTGCTCTTAGTGTATATGGTGGAGAGGATTCTTGGAAGCGTTTTAATTATTATAATTTTGGATTTCAATAAAATGTTTCTTTCTATTAGCCAAAGCAAAAAGTTAGCATTAGTTAATAATTATAATTAGTATAAACAAGCTAAAAAAATACAAGGAATTTTTAAACAAAAATAAATCTGTTTTCTCATCTTTTTAAAATATTAACATTTGTTTTAATCTACTAAATTTATTTATGGGGAGGATATGCAATATTTAATGGTTAATAAAATAGATTATTACCATTAAGTAATCTTTTAAATGATTTTGCATTGTTTAGTTCTAAATTGGATAATCTAGCTAGTGCTGCTTTAATTATTAAAACTAAACCAATTCTATTTTAAAAACTAAAGTCTTTAAATATTTATTAAGAAAATGAATTATTAGATGAAGGAAAAATTATAAAACTATTTGATGAATTTTATGAAGATGTTAATTTATCATTTGTTAAATTATATGAAAATATAATAAAAGATCTATCTTTGGAATATTCACAAGAGGAAGTTCAAGGATTATTAAGTTCAGATATTTGTATTTACTTGAGTGATTATCTTCCATTTTGCTAATTAAAAATAACTAACAACCAATAAGATTTTATTTAAAAGTATGGTACTTATGTAGATTAAGATGATAACTCTGAATATTTAGCTCATGGTATACTTACTCTAGTAACAACCATTTAATAATTTTATTAATAGAATTTTGCAAATGAAATATCAAATGGATAATATGTAAACAATACAGAAGAGATTTATTTATTGATAAATAGTTCTGAGTTTAATGTTATAGTTTTGTCTCATTTTAGAGATACTTACTTTTGTTTTATTAGATTTTTAGAGTTAGTTGATGGTAATATAGCTCTAATTAAGGAAAAGGATCTAGATGTATTGCTATTATATTATGACATAATAATAGTAGTTTATTTGATCTTATTTCACATTTATTACTCATTTTGGATAAATAGGAATGTTAAAGAAATGAGAAACATTAAACTTGCTTTAATAGCGATTCCACATTTTTAATTGACAAGTGATCCTGTTATTAACATTTTGAAAAGATATCAATGATAATGTTCTCATTATACTGAATCTGATTAAAAAATATTTGATTTTCTAATACATTTTGTTAGTATTGAAATTTCAATTATCGTTAATAATTTTTATAATGCAGTGTCGTAAAGTAGAGCCGAATGTAATAATGAATTCTGCAAGACTTATGTAACGACCTATTGAGACCAATAAATTGGAAGAAGAGATAGTCAATATTATGAAAAGCCCTGAAAAAAAAAGTCCCCATAATGGAAAATGTCTCAAACGAACAACATCTGGCCCAATAATAAATTTACAACAACAAATAATCATTTAATAAGGTGGACCTATTAAGGAAAACTTAGCAGAACAAAAATAAAAGAATTAAATAAAAAAGAAGAAAAAGAAGAAGAAAACTCAAAAGAAAAAGAAAGTTTAACTATAAGATAAGTAAGAATCAGAGTAGAGAGTTTAACAATTATTAAAATAAAATCTACGTAAACATTAGAGTAATTTTATTCAATATAACATAAGAGGATAAGCATGAATAATAAGTACAAGAGGAAATATAAAAATAAAGAGTAGCAAGTTTGAATGAAATGAGAAAAATAATGGATCAACAAATTCGATAAATCAATCAACAACGATTTTCTAGGGTATATAAATATTTTAAGATTAGTAAAAGTCTCCTCCTTCATCTTTATTACCTTGGGGTATTGATTAAAATAAGTTAAAATCTTATTGGACAAAAATGTTGGAGATCCATGATAAATTAGAAAAGCCAATCATTTAAAATAAGACCTCTACAGAATAAGCAATAAAGGAGAAAATAAGAAGACATAAATTAGGATTAGATTTTTTGAATTCTAAACCTGAAAAAGATATTTAAAAAATGATATAAAGTAAAATTTAATAGATATTCAAAGAATAAAAATCAAAATAAGTGTTGGAATCAATATCCTCTCCTTAAAAAAATAAAAATGATTGTGAACATAAAGAAGTAGAATAAGATGTTAAATTGTATATGATGTACAAAAGAGAACTATTGCGATAATAAAAAATTGAAGAGTATAAATTATATTTATATTTATTTAGAAGACAACTATAAAAATTAAAAAAAGAAAAAGTTATTTAAAATCTATAGATCTTAAATAAAGAAGCTAAATAATTTGCTAAATCAAGAAATGCATCAATTAAATCCAATTTAACCGTTTAAGCTAATTCTTAACATGTCCAACTTCAATCATAACATTATCGAACATCAGAACCACCAAATTTCAATAAATTAGAAAAAGAGTATAAGGAATTAATGAGATCACTTAGATAATCAAGTTATAGCAGCACATAATCTCATACAAGGAAAAATAGCTAATTAACTTTTATAGAATGGTTATAGAATTTGCCTGAATAATATTTGCAAGAATAATTAATATAGATGTAAAATATAAATGAGTAGATGAATAGTTAAGGTTTTCAATATAAGTTAAGCGAACAAGAATTATATTAATTTTTAGAATAATTTTTGAAGGAGAAATTTGAATAATAATCAAAATTAACAATAAAGGAGAGATTTTAAGAACTTCAAGGTAGATTTTAATTGGTCTCTAATTAATAATAATAATAATAATAATAATAATAATAATAATAATAATAATAATAGTAATAATAATAATAAAATTTAACTAATCATAGCATTTCCAGTTCTAAAAGTAAAAAGCAAATATAAGAGAAACCAGATTCTACTCCATAAGATTAATCATTTAACGAAATAAGTGAAGAATAATTGGAATAAATTCATAATATAGCTGCAACAATGATCTAAAAAGTATGGAGAGGATATAAAACTAGATAATTAGTTTTTGATTATTTAAACTATTTAATATAATAGCAAGAAGAAGTGTAATTATAAGATAATGAAGAGAAAGATCAAGAATAAGCATTATTTGGTGAATTATTATAAGAAGATGATCAGCAATCTATTAATTAAGTTACAGAATCAAATAGGAAGCAAAATCATTTTGAATATTTATAAAATGACTCTGCAATATCCCATCATCAAGGATATGCTCCTCCTCCTTCTGAATCTATCCATTAGTCATCTCCTCAATAATCAAGTCCAAAAGGAAATAATAATATACCTCTTCTCAACTTGGATTAATTCTCTCAATAATAGCTACCAACTGCATAAAAATCTAATAAAAATACTTAATTACTACCTTAATAAGAATCAGTTTGTTAATCTTAATCTGAAAATTAAGAGTCAGAAATTGAACAAATCCAAGATTCCACTCCTTAAAAAATTAAGTTAAATTAACATGGATTTAATCAAGACCCTGATTATTATGTCTAAGTTTTGAAATCTCGTGAAGAAGCTTTATAATAGAAATTTGATAAATAAGTTGCTTTATTGGATAAAATGTTAGAAAAAAAGAAAGTGACTAATGAGATGTTCTTTGAAAATAAAGAGAGATTAGAAAGAAAATATAAAAGAGAAAGAGCAAAGTTATAATAATCAAAAAATGAAGTTGAAAGACTTCAATAAATGTTTAAGGAAACTATAAAATCTACTTAGAAAGACTAATAATTTATGGAAAAGATAAAGATGTAGTGTGATGAAGAAAATCTTTCTATTAGGTAAATTTTTTCTTTAAGATCCGAGACAGAGTAATCTGATTGTGACATTGAAAAGAAACCTATACCTCATTATGGTCTATTATAAAAAATAAGTATTTGTATATTATAACTGTAGAAAATGATCATTTTAAAAAATATCAAAAAAATAGAAAATAAGTTCGTAGTTTTGATTAATAAATGAGTTTAGATGAAATTTCAATGAAAAATGAAGAAATATAAACAAGCACATTATTCAATATTCATACAGAATCCATGTCTCATTCAATTCATAAATCTTAATAAATAATTTCCAATAATTAATAATCTATTCCATCATAAGAGATAGTATAAGTTGAAACTATCGAAATCCAAGAAAATATAGACCCTTAACCTAATTATAGAAGATCAATAATACCTTTTGATGATCGTAAAATTGACAGTGTTACTGAAAATATCGTATAAAATATAATAGTTGAGTTTGCTGAAGAATTAAATAATTTCCCTCTATAATCATTAGGTGTTTTAATGGAATGGGATGAAGAGTCTTAAATTGACTTTCAATTTCCTCCTGGATTTCCAACTACTCTAAATTTCATTAAAGATTATCTCATATCTTTCAGTGAATTCATTCAAAGTAACTAATAATTTTATTATTAGAACATCATTTAAATGTCTTTATTTAGCAAATTAATACTCCTTTAGGAATAAGTCCTTAAGATTTATTAAAGACAATTTCTTTAAGTGACATGCAATAAAACACTTTAGATGATTCTACATCTGGTCCATTATACCCATTAATTAAATACATTCATTAAATGGAACCTCTCATTGATGAAGATATTTGGTCTAAATTTAACTAATCATACTCACTTAAATTGAAATATTTTAATGACATAAATATTAGCGATTAATTTAAGGAATTAGAAATGTTCCATTTAAGAATGGTTTATGAAGCATTTAATGAGGCCATTAATTATTTAAGACCTTATGGAATTAGAGGATAACCTTATCCTTGGAAATCAAATCCATTAAAAGTCTATCAAAATTTGACAACTCCTGAAACAATAGATAGAGCAATGGGATTTGCTATTGCCAAAATGCTTAAATGGGGATCATTTCTCTGTGGTTTCATACCAGAAAAAATTGAAACCCCTTAAGGAGAAATAATAGTAATAGAGGATGATTATTTGAATCAAATTAAAGAAGATCGATTGTAATAGATGTTAGAGTATGAAGTATGATAATCTATTTATTCTAAAGATTTAAGAATCCGAAGAGAAATGGCTTAATTATGATGAGGAATAAGCAGAAGTTGCAGTAGAATTAGCAGATATTGTATTCGAAGCGATGTTAGATGAAGCTGCTGAAGAAATATTCAGAGCTAGTTCAAGGTAAGCGATACCAAAAAAATAATTTCAATATTGATATAATATATACTTATTTTATATTTTATTTCAAAGATACTCTTTTTGGTTAATAAGTTCTGGTTCATAAACCTAAAGGTTATTTTATAAGCTATTTTATAATAAAGAAATACTCTTAATAGATACGAATCATATATAGATGTATACTCTATTCATTTTTGAAGGTAATAAAGAATTTATAATTGAATCCTGCAACAATTTATCTCTCTATTGATTCTACTTTTAAAAATTGAAAATCTTAAGGGATAGTTTAGTCCAACTTTAATCTAGCAGCAGCATAGATTTCATCATTGCTTTATTGAGAGAAATATTCATCGATATCAATTACTTCATAACTTCCTGTGCAAATGACAGATGTAAAAGCGATAGTTAGTATTAATACTTTTAACATAATTTTATTTATAATTAAAACAAATTATAAAATGTATAAATATACAAGAGAAAAATACACGTCATAACTAATATTAAATAGTAATAAGCAAAATAATAAGAAGTATTAAATAAAAATATTTATAGAATTTATAAAAAATGTTAAAACTTAATGAACACAGAATGAAGTTAATATTTAAAAGCACTTCAAATCATAATAATTATGAAAAGCCAAAAAGATTAGAAATTTCTCTTAATATACATTAAAACATTCCATAAAATTTTTGAAAAAATAAATATTGAATAACTATTAATCAGAGTTTTTTATAAGCAGCTTTTTTTCTTTAAAAATTTGATATTAACTTTATTAATATTGATTTTAACTAAATAAATTTATATTATAAATAATATTATCCAAAAAATCAGTTTTAGTTGGGCCCAATTTACAGAATTCCTATATTATACTTATTATTATAAGATATAATAAATCATTTATAACATATATAAAAACATTAAAGTTAAGTTTATTTTTCAAAGTAAAAATACAATAAATAATGCATGTTAAAGAGTGAGTTCTTCTTATTCAATTTTAATTAATTTGAATTTTCATTTTATAACAATAAAGTTTTCGAATAATTAGTTGAAATATTAGACAGAAGACTTTTAACCCAATGTGAAAATCAAACTATCAATATATATTTTATTGTAAAAATATTGTTTACTTGATTTTTTTAGATTATGAGAATAAATAGAACTATGAATAATTTTAAAGATAATAAATTATGTTTAATTAAACTATTATACAATAATCTTTGCTAAATTTGAGTAAATGAATAAAAAAATAGAATTTCCTTAGTTTCATTATTTCGAATCAAAAGATGAAAAAATTTTCTTAAAATGCGAAATATGAAATTATTTATTAAAATTTATGATACATTAAATTAAAAAATGAACTTTCTAGATTATGTGACTATTTCAATTCATCTATTTATTCAATATTATAATTAAATTTCATTATATAAATAAATGAATACAATGATATTACTTTTGAATGGTGAAAAATTTAAAAAAAAACTTTATTTATTTTATATAAAATAAATTAAACACAAATAATAATATAAACATGTAAATAGCAAATTTTATGTAAATTAAGTAATTCTAATATAAATTTTATCATAATTTTTTGTTTACTTTAGAAAATCTTTATATCTAAATTTGATGCAAATTTTTACAGAAATATTATCAAAATTGTAAATTTATGAGATTTACATTTTTAAATTTAGTTTAACTTCTTTCACTTTAGATGAGAAACAATATAAAATTTGTGAAGCTATTAATGATAATTGAATTTACATAAAACATTGCTTTATTTTTCCCAAAACATGGTTGGGGATAATTATAATATGAGGATAAAATGCTTAAAGCAATTTCATAATTTACTAATTATGCCCTATTTTTAGATTAAGATGGTAATTAATATTCATTTGATGTCTTCATCATATTTCTTTCATTTTTATCATTCATTATTTTGCTTTTTTCATTTATGTTTCATTAGAAGGATGTAATAAGATAATTTATAAACTATGCTTTAACTATATTGAATAAAATACTTAAGTTTCCACTGATTGTTATTTATAGTAAATTTTTGTATAACTATTCAGAAAATGTGGGATTTTTTATGATAGGATGTTTTACTTTTGCATTATTTTTGGTTTTATTAGGTTTGATAACATATTTTTAGAGAGATATTTAATGCAATTTAAGCAAATTAAATGTTCCAATTTATCATTTTTATTCTCCTGTTTTATTTATCATACATATAATAGATATATTTAGAGTTTTAGTATTTACAATATTAAATTCAAACAGTGGATAAATTTTGTTTTAACTATTAACTATGATGAGAATGATATTGAAATAATATCAAAATTTATATGAATAAAATGATTAAGATAAATCTAATTAAAGTCTAATCTTATGCAATATATTTATTTCTATATTTCTACTTGTTGGAATAAGTACTTAATTAGATGAAAGATTTATATTTAATATATTACTTTATTCATCTACTCTCATTTATTATTTATTTACTTAAATTAACTTATCTTTGATAATTTAATCAAGTAGTTTATAATACTTAATTTAGCAAAAAATGAGTGAAAAAAAATTATTTCTTAATAATTTAAATTGTAATCTTGATAATAATTATGTATAAAACCTTATTTAGTCCTGTTTACTGGATGAGATTTATAATTATACATCAAATGTTACCTCTCTATAATACTAATCTATTTTTTAGAAAGAAGATAATATATTAATATTATTTGACTTTTTAGTCAAATATTCAAAAAGATATTACTTAGCATTAAATCTTCTATATAAGTTTGAAAGTAATCAAACAAAATTATCCTATTTTTATACAAAGATCAGTACTTTATTGAAATCATAAGTTTAAAAAGATTTTGTACAATACAACTAATTTACAATAACAATTGAAAATCTTAATAGGGATGCTTTAATTGAATCAGAATATGAAAAAAAAATTTTAGAAATTTTATAAAAATAAATAGAATTTCTCAATTATCTAATATAAGGGGCTTAATGTTTTAATGAAATTGAAAAATTTATTATAAATTTATCTGAAAATATTTAAAATACAAAATAATGGTTAAAGAAAAATAAGATTTACAAAAATAGAAATAATTTTCTATTTTTAAAGATTTCCATCAATTTTAATATTTAAATTATGTAAAATCTGATTAAAGGAATTAAATTAAATAAAATTTTGAACTAATTAATGACTACTGACACCAAAACTATTAGTTAATCAGAAAGATTTAAAGATGATTCAATTATAGTGCCTGTAAGTATAATTAAAAAAAGAGGTTTTATTTTAAATTCTAATAGTTAAATAAATAAATTTTTTGGCTTCTCTAGAAAGGATACTAAATTAGAAACTATAGAGTAATTAATGCCAAAAGCGATAAAGTCTATTCATAATTAATTCTTAGAAAGTTTTATTAATAGAGACAAAATATCAAATCATTAATAATCTTAATTAGAAGTACTATAAAAATAAGAAAACGAATATCTTTAGTGTCTTTAAATTAACTTTATAATAAGTAATGATTTCTCAGATTTTATTTTATTATCTTTAATAAGAAAAGTGAATAAAGATAAAATATTTATTGCATTTGATAATTCTGGATAAATTACAGGAGTAAGTTAACAATTAAATGATTATTGGCCATAAATTTTTGAATAAATGTAGTTCTATAATTTGATATAATATTATTGTCCTTAATTGTTTGAATTGTTATCAAATGTTGATTCTTCTAAAATATTTGATCTAAATTTTATATATAGATCTAAAATATAAAAAATAGATACATAATTCAAAAATTATATCAAACAAGAGACAAATTTCTAAAAATCCTAATGCTTTATTGATAATATTTATTCTGAAAGATCTGATTAATTATAATTACTGAATTCAAAATATTAGAATATTGAATAAGATTCATTGAGCTTTAATATATTAGATGTTCTTTATCAAAATTAATTAAATGCAATAATGAATTTATATGCAGTATTTATTTTATTTTTATTTTTTAGACAGAAAATGATAAAATCTTTCCAGTAAAAGGTTTAATAAAGAAAGTTCAATTAAAAGATAAAATAATATAATATCAATTAGAGCTTCATTTTAATGAGATATCAAAAAAAAATGAGAAAGTTGAAACAAAAAGAGATTCAAAGAGAAACATGTAAACTTAAAAAAATAAATCATTTATTGAAGGAAGTGAAGTTGGAACAGAATTAAAAGCAACCTTCCTTCTCCATCATGTTTTATTAAAATAAAAGAGTAATGTTCCATTTAAAAAAATATTATTTTACAAATTTCTTGTAGTTTTGCTTCTCATCTTATTTTTAATTTTGTAAATTTATTAAAGTCAAAATAATGGCTAGACTAAAATTAAATTGACACAATACATTTATGCTCCTTAATTAATGGTTAAGTTTTACAATGATGCATTTTAATTGGGATTTCATAAATTAATTTTTTAAAATTTGTAAACTTCATAATATTTACAAAATGCTATTATTACTTAATTAAACTATAAGTTATAGAAGATTAGAGATGAATATGATTTTTTACATAATAATTTAATTAAGATTGATGGAACAAAGGATGAAATCTTATACACTTTAAATATATTATAAAGCAAAATACAACTTACTAGTACTGCTACTTTTTCAGAAAAAATTAGAGAAAATATGATAACTTTAGTTACATATTCAGTTAATTAAATCTAATTTATTAAGTCCCTTCTTTTCTTTAGAATTAATATCGTATAAGCATACAATATCACAATTGATACAATAGATACATTTAGTATTTAATTGGCAAATTATTAATCCAATATTATGTAATTTTGGAATAGTATACTTATTGTTTAGCTAATCTTATTTATAATCCCTTTCTTAATAAATATAAAAAATTGGTATAATTTTGAAAAAAGACATAAATGTATTATATAAATATTATCTAAAATTAATGAAGACTAAGCTAATAAATTGATTGATTAAAAGCAAAGTTTTATATAGTCAGTCATATAAGAAAAAGGAACCTAGATCAAAATTCCTAAACATAGCAAATAATCTATCAACACTTCAAATTCAAAAATCTCTGTACCTCTATCCTAAAATACTACCAGATATAGATAAACTTAAACACTTTATGAAAAGATTTCTAATAAGTAAATAACTATTGTATTAAAATTAAGTGTGACTGTTTTTTGTTATTTATTATTAGTATTTTTCGTTAGTTTTGGATATTTCCAAACTTAAATGAGTAATTACTCATACTAACCTATAGAATAATTAGTTAAAACTTATGTTAAATTTCAAGCACAATTAAGTTATTTAGTTTCTTTTGCATCTATAATGAAAGGATAGTAAGAACTATTAAATATTATTGAGAATATAGATGATCCTGAAATAGGAGATATTAATAAATTATTTTAAGATGATTAAGTTCCATAGAATTTTCATAATTTATCTCAAACGTATTCAAAAAAAGTAATAACCTTATTTTCTACAATTATTTTGACAAATCAAATTGATGAAAAAGATAAAGAAATTCTTTATGATCTTTATTAAGGAGATTTTTGTAATTATTAGTAAGGATCAATTCAATTTTGTAATAGAAATTTAACTTAATCACAATTTGAAAAGAAATATGGAGAATATTATGCATATGAAAATAATTCTGATGTTTTGAGAACAGGAATTATAGGTTTTATTAGCAAATTAGATTCATTATTAAAAAATAATTTTGATTTGGAGATTTCAAAATCTATTTATGATTATAATTAATAAAGTCTTTTATACTATTTTAAAGACTATAATAATCTTGTAGTTTAATATCCACTTAATATTTCTGAAGGTTTCAATTTATTTTATGAATAAGTAAATTATATATCATCAGATTTAATAACAAAGACAATGAATAATTTAATCATTTATTACATTTGTTTTGGTATATCTATCTTATTTATTTATTTGATAATATCTAGTATTTAAATTAAATACTCATAAAGAAGATATAAAAGTTTTATTTTAGGATTAGTAACTTTATCAGATGATCTTTTGAATGACAAAACTAGTTTGCATTTATTAAAGAAATTGATGGATTGAATATATTTTATAAAAGTAAAATAAAGAATAAATTAAATTTGATATTATTGTAAAAATATATTATATTAGATATGTGAAAAAACATCTCTTTATCATAAGTTATAAATGAATCAAAAAATAATGTTAAAGATTCATATAAAAATTTAACGAGATTGAATAATATAAAATAATGATGAAAAATTGTTTATCTATTCATTTTTCATCTTCTTCTTGAATAGGATCCCCTTTTTAAAATCGTTTCTTTACTTGATCCATAGATGGACTTTAAGTAGGGTCAATATGATCAAATTCAGTAGTATTAAATTTTTAAATAATTTTCTATTGATTTTAATAAATTGGTCTATAAGAATTTTCTTGTGTAATAAAAGATCCTTTATTTTCTATTCTATCTTAAGGGCTTCCCTTTTAATTTTCATTTTAAAATTCAGTAGTAAAGGCTTTTCCACATGTAGAAAACATTTGCTTTTTCTGAAAAGCAGTTAATTTAGCTGGTCCTTGGATGCTGCTTTCTTGATAACAAGGAATAAAGAATGGATCCTATAAACATTGAGTAGCAGTTATTCTTTGAGTTGGATCTTTCTCAAGCATTTTTTGTATTAAATTCTTAAAATTTTATATATAAATAAAAATACTGTGATTGATGGATCAACTTTTTTCATTTGTAATGGAGTTAAATCAATTTTACATTATTTATTTAATTTTAAAACTAAATTAAATCCAACTCCTGGAAAAAAGTCTTTTCCTGTAATTCTAAAATTTAAGATCAATTTACAATTTAAAAAATATAACACCAGCACTGAAAATATCACAAACCTTATCATATTTATATGTTTTGTCAACAAGATTAGCAATCTCTGGAGCAACATATCCAGGAGTGCCACATTTAGGAAATAAATACCTTTTTATTTCATATAAATATTTATACTTATTTGCATTACAGTATGTAGCTAAACCAAAATCAACAATTTTAAGAGAATTTAAATCATCTTTTCTTAATAACATAATGTTTTCTGGTTTTAAATCTCGATGCATAATTTATTTTTCATGCATATATTCAATTCCAGTTAAAATTTACTATATCAAAATATTAAATTTATTACCCACATAATGTTCCTTACTATATCTTCAGAGAATCCATTTTTATGATTATTTAATTCTTCATGTAAACTTTTCCCTTCTAATAAATCCATAACCATATAAAATGTGTTATCCCCTTCATAAACTGCATGTAATTTTATAAAGGAAGGATGGTCTAGATCATTATTTATGGCTATTTCTTAAAACATTGATTCCTAAACTATGTTTAAATTAATACCATTCCATTTTCTGTTTCATTAACATATGATTTATCAATGCATTTTGCTGCATAATAATTCTCTGTATTCTTGTGTCTTACCAATAATACTCTAGATGAAGCTCCTTTCCCTAAAGTTTAGAGAGGAGTATAAAAGTCTTGAATCCTTTAAAAGATGATTTTATTTCTCAAATGCTCTTTTAAAGTAGCCAGAGTTTTATCATCCCCATAAAATGTTATTATTTTTGCAACAGGATTTTCATTTATCTATTTAACCTAAAGAATGTTAGAATAAATTTAAGCACTTATTAAAATTTGAATGAGACTATTTTGTAATGCTTTTTCTCTTCTTAATTGTACTCCTCAACTTCCCACTTTATATGAGTTTATAATTAAATAGGTAAAGAATACTTAAAATTTGGATTATTATCCTAAAATATCAAAATCATCAACAAATTATACCTTACATAAATCCAATTTATCTTGTCTTAATAATCCCATATATTTTTTATTTTCCTTCTTTCCTTTACGAAAGCATTCGAATTAATACACAACTGGTACTTCAATTTACATCGACAAATAATAATTTATGAGGTATTAAAATTAAAAAAAATTAAAAATAAATGATATTATTTGAAATTAGAATAAGAAAAAGTGAAAATGAATTGAAGATTTGAAATAAATAATCAAAATTTTTTAAATTTTAAGATTATCTTGATATGTCTATTACATATTGAATATCAGAAAGATTTGTTTGATGATATTTGAATTCTATTATGAAATAATAGATACATTAAGATTAACAGTATTCTATCATAAACAAATTCTTTAAATTGAAGAAACTTTATATAGATATAGATTTAATAATTTAAATAGTATAATTTAAACAAATAGTATAATTTAGAATAGCAATGGTAACTATTACAACTTATAATAAATTTATTAAAAACTCTTAAAACATAAAATTTATTATTGCTTATAATTAAATGTTCAATGTTCAGCAGATTATTATTCTTATTCTTAAAATGCACCATATTTTTTCATTTCTTCAGCTTGTTACTTTAATTCTTATATTCTCTTAGCTAAGGCTCTACCTTTTCTACATAATATGAAGACTATGATTGTTAGAATAATCTAAAATATTAATAATAGTAAATACTGCAATTGAAACACAAACTCCAATAATTAGATAATTTGAATCAGATTCTAAGAGGGGTCCTGATGCTTAAATTGATAATTATTGTGTAATTTGACATTATTCAAATAAATCTGTACTTTGATGTCCTTCACATTTAGAAGTATTGGCTTTAAGCGTATAATTTTATTCTCTTCCATATTAGAATTTACAAATAATAACTGGATTATAATCATTAAATTTCCAAATATGCAATGATCCTTTAGATAAACCTATATAATATGAAGTTTCCATAAATTAAGTCTTAATTGATTCATTCATTTCAAAATATTGGAATCTAATTAATTCATCTTCAAAAAAGGTTTTTACTAAATCTGTATTATTCCTCATGAAACCATTAAAAATTGAATGTCTAAGAACTAAATGAACATCTTCACCAATAATGATTGCATAATCTTCATCAATTTCAATATCTCGAAAAGAGAAGTCATCAACATATATTCGATTTACATAGTATTCTTTTGTATCAGATAATAGGAATATCTCCATCATATATTCTATATTATTTGGTGTTTCAGCTACAACCAAATAAGTATTTTCATAATGATCAAATGCTACACATCTTGATTATGGTATAGTGAGATCTAAAGATAGTTATCCATTTTATAATTAAAAAATGTATAATCCTGTATGTTCATCTAATATACTTATCCTTTATGAAGATAATTTTACAGAAATAATATTTACAATTGTTTAATTTAATTATTATGCTGTTATTGTGAGTAAATAGATTAGTTGTTTATTGATATATTAATAGAGATCAACCCCAGCATTACCATTTGCTATAGCAAGATATTCTTAACAAATACTAACTTTATTTAAGTCTTCATTTTGAATTATAACTGGTTCTAAATTTAAATTAGGATTTTCTATTTCTGAATTAGTATTTAACCAAAAACCTCCATAATTAGATAGAATCAAACAACGATCTTGATCAGTTTGGAAGCATGCAAAAAATGCATTTGTATAATTTATTTGCTAAGAAATCAAAGTTTAAAGATGGTAAGAAATGTTTTTAATTAATATATTCCATTGTGGAGATTAGGTTTAATTAAATTATAGTACGGCCTGTTTTAATTCTAATTCATCTGTCAATAAAAATATTCTTAATGAAACAAAACTCTTACTTTTATTGTTATTCCAATATTAAAATATCTGTATAGTAAATATCTTCAGTATTATCTAATAAATTAACACTAAATATTTCAGTCAATTTAGGATGTTTAGGTAAACCTATACAATCTAAAAATATAAATATATATTTTACCATTGTCTAATTATTAATCATCTAAGTATTGATTGTCTAAACTAAGGAAGGGTGTTTCAATGTAAGTACCTAATGAATTTGAATCATTTCTATAAACAATAATGTCATATATTGCAGGATTGCTATGAAATTCAATTTCTAATTAACCTTAGTAATTTCACATGAGCCTCTTAAGTAGAAAATTAGAATTCTAAAGATTCCTCATTTACCATATAAGTTTAATTTGGATGACTGCGGATTCTATTAGTTTATATTGAAATCTTAAAGAATAGTGCTGTTATTAAGCCTATTTATATTGAAAACATTAAATATCAAATAATTAACAAAAGTAAACAATCAAATAAATCATACTTTTTTTTATTTCTATTCTTCTTATTCCATTTTTGAATTCAGAAGAGTACAATATTTAAATTGATCCATTAATTCAATACATTGTCTTAAAGTATTATTATGTTTATTTTTTTATATACAAATATTATATGCATCCAAATGAGTTTAACATTTATGTCCAACAGCATCATATGCAAGTTTCTCAGAAGGTGAAAGAAGTATTTATTTATCCATAAATAAAATATTAATAATAATTAAAGTAGGTTGACAACAATATAATTATTCATTGAATCTTTATAGATTTATTAAATATAAATAAAAATGAATATATATATATATATCATACCTCAATGTAATAATTATATTCTATCATGACAATATCTATGGTATTTTCTAATCATAAAATCTGCATCAACCTTCTTTTTAGTTGGTGCTTCATTTAATAATTCTTAATATTTCTATTCACAATCATATTTTTTTATGAAATCTTCTTGATTCATTTTTAAATTATCCATTGCATTTTCAAGATTATTTAAAATCACCAACCCTATTAGGAATTGAATATTTACCTGGGACGTAATATTGTCCAATAATCAAACTCTAATATTTATGGAAAATAAGGAGAATCCTTTATTTTAACATTCAAATGTTTTTCAAAAAACTTCAATTTCAATTTCAAAGTCTAAACACTTTTTAAAAATAAATTTGGACATATCTATAATATCTGTCCTATTTAATTTATAGATAATCCAATTTCTTTGAATAAATTAATCTTTGGACTTAACATATATGCTGGTGTTAATAGTAATAATTTATGATTATTTATTAATAATTAATGTTATACTTCTTTATTAGGAATTAAAACATCATAATGATTAAGTAATCGATCTAAATCATGATTTTTTAGAGCTAGAAACTCTGAAGTTTTTTAAATCTAATAAATTATAATGAATTATTACTAATTCTTATATTTCCTTTGTTTTATATTCTCTATTATACATAACTCTAAAATTAGGTGGTATTCTTTCAAGATTAAATGAAAATAAGAATGGAGTATTGACTAATACTTATCCAAATTATTTATCATTTATATGTGCATATGTATTAAATACATTTCTGAATTTTTCATAATTTACTTCAAAATTTCTCATTAATAAAGGATATGCTGTTAACATAGATAAAATATCTTCTTTGCTTATTTGTAATTATTTTTCAAAGAGATCAATATAATTATTCATTTTATCAATAGAATGGCTCAATATTTATGGATCTTTAAATAGGATAGTTCTTATTTATCTAAATTAATGTTATGAATTATTTACTTAGTTTCTGCATTCAATCTAGTTTTGAATAACTCATTCAATTATCCAATGTCATTAATATTATTCCCTTAGACAAGAGAAAGACCTCTGTTTTTGAAAATTCTAAATATCATTTATTCATTAAATCCCATGGATTCATAGATACTTAGAGCAGGTTTAATTTAAGTTTCATAATTGTAAATGGTAGCAAATTTTGTATTTTATAGTTTTTCTGTAAATTTTGAATAAGTACTGAATCTAAAAAAGATGGCCCTCATTTAATAAATTAATATTTATTTTTATATTTTCATTGGTTATACACAACCACTCTAAATTTTGTTATAGGAATCTAATCAATTGAAAATTTGCTTATTCCTAATGTTAATTGTTTTAAATTAGTAATTAGATTAGCTTGATTAATTATATTTAAACAAGCAACTTCATTAATAGTACATTCTTTTGTATTGAATATAAATTACTATAGATACTTATATTCAATGATGATTAACATCATTTTATCTATCAAATCATCAGGAATCTATTAATGAATTAGATTGATATATAATTGTGTCACATTTTCTCTTTTTATTCTTTCCAAATAAAATAAAAACATTTATTATATAATTGGTTGACTGACAGTCATTTGAATTATATATTTTCTTTTATTTTTCTCTTTAAATGATTTGTCTAATTCTTCAAGTGATTATTATGAAAGTGAAGTAATCTATTTAAATTATTAACATTTAAACTTAAATTCTCTCAATTTTCTATTCATATTTTAAATATTCTAATCTCATGGGTAATAGATTTTGAGCAACACAACTAACATCTATTAAAGAACATCTTTCAATGGGATTACGTATCAGCATATTCCTGATTAAATTTCCTAACATTTCCCTAATTTTAAAAATTACATACCCATATTAGAATGAAACAAATTTCAATTTATTTTCAATAGCTTCTTATTATATTAATTCAGCAGGTTATGTAAGTGAAGCCATTGATAATATTACTATCCCAATTTACCAAACATCTGTTCTAACTGAAAGATTGAAATTATTTCTATAACCAAATTAACTTGCTTATGAATTATTTTCAGGTGCTTATAAAGCTTAATAATCATTATTTTCTTTATCATATTATATATGATATTTCTTTTTATAGGCAAGAATAGGAGATAATCCACCAACTTTAAATCCTTTTTTTTCATCATAAAACAAATAATTTACAGAAAACTATTTCTAAAATATTTATAAGAATTATAGATATTAAGCCACTGTCACTAATGTTATTATAGCTTCAACAATAACTTCTAATTGAAATAAATTATGAGTTTAAGCTCTTAAAAATATTAATTCACTCATTGGTTATTCCACCCATTCTTCAACTGCATATATTGTATCATACTATAAGTCATCAATTTTAATAAATTTATTATATATAGTTTTCTTGATCTTCTTATTAAAGAAAGATTTATTTT